CAGCTGAAAGTGCTTCTACTAGTCGTATAATATCAAAGAAAGCGCGTGGTGGGGGTAGTCAAGAAAAGGCCCAGCCAGGTCAACGGCACTGTGGAATCTGTGGGAGAGTGGGCCATAACGCCCGTACGTGCCAAAAAGATGTAGAAGAAGATTCTATGTTAGATGCAAGTGAGTCGTACGAAGCATCTATAGCTAGTGTAGAGTAATTCAAGTTTTCATATGTGATGTTCGCGATGCCAAGAAAAAGTGGCACACTCGGTGGGGTGGCACTCTCGGTGGTGGAATACGTTATATATTTTACTAGTAACTTTATATTATAGCCGCAGATAGTAGTTTTAGTAGAGGGCTTAGCAGGCGGTAGTGTAACTCTATTACTACTGTTATAGCCTACTATATAACAACATTTTACTATTTTTATATTCCATAATAATAAAGCTTTTTATTTAAGTGTACTTTACTTATTATAAGATTTTTTATTATTGTAGTAAGCTAATTTTTTTCTTTTTAGGCGCGCGTAGTAGTAAGTTATATAGCCTTAGCCTTCTATTTCTTCTTATAAGTAACTTTTATAATTTCTTACGCCTATTTTACTTTGATGCCTTTTTTTTATACTAAGTAGTAGCTTTTTATATTTCTTTTCTTTTTTTTTCAAAGTTTTTTTTACCTCTTCTTCTTAGTGATATATAGCCTAACGCGCTTAAGCTTCCTATACTACCTAAGGGCCCTATACTACTACTACACTTTAGTACTTTTAGTATTAACTATTAAAGGTTAAGAACTCTATTATGCTTTAGCCTTTATTTTTTAGTAGTAATTTTACTATAAAGTTTATTAATTTTAATATAGAGAAGCTTATTATTAACTTATAAAAAATATAGAGCCTAGTAAAGCTCTTCAGCTATAGCTCTGAACTTATCTAGTACTATAATATTAAATAATCTTAATAGCGTACGCTAGCTATCTCTATTTTCTACCTCTCTACTTTTTAAGTTATTATTTTATTACAATATAGTAGTTTTCAACTATATAAGTAGAACTTTAGGATTATGAGAATAGAGCTTAGTAGCTATAAAACTACTTAAAATACTATTAGTAGTGAAAGTAGATATATACGCTACCTAAAATAAGTAAAAGAAATTAGTTTTTTATATTTAGAGTAATGCTTAGCTATAGCGTATAAACTCTAATAGCTCTTGAGAGTACACTACTAAGAGTAGCTTATATAATACTACGTTAAAAGGCTATAGAGTATAGGTAGCGTAAGGTAGAAATATTAAAAGTATTATTTAATAAGAGTAATAATATTTAATAGATTTAGGTAAGACGTAGCTACTATAGCTATTAAGAGTAAGTATCCAGTAATTATATTGAGCTTTTACCTTTATTTAATAATTAAAAACCTATTTAAGCTAAGCTAAGCTTAAGTTATTATTACTCTATCTAGATAGACTTATAGAGAGAAAAACGTAGTGTTTTCTAAGCTCTAAGTCGCGTACTTAGCTGTTATAAAGTCTAACCTTGCTTTTATAAATAATATAAGGATTTATAGCGCTTCTATTAGTATAAATATATACTAAAACTATTATTTACTCTTTATTACTATCTTAGATAGTAGTAGTAATTATTTTTTAGTCTTAAAGTTATTTAAAAAATACTTATTTTAACCTTATAGTAGACCTAAGTAGGAAGCCTTTCTTATCTATATTATAGATGTTATATAGCGTGATATTATAGTTATTAAGTTTCTTGAAAATAAGATTAAAATATAATTAATAACTATTATAACTATTAGCTTTATAACAATTACAGTCTATCTTAGTAGTATATTTGATAGTAAAGTTAGTAGTATTATAGTCTAAAAAGCGTATAACTTAGCTATCTAAAAGCTTTTATTCTATTATAGACTTAGTAAGTGTAAGCCTATAACTAGAAAGCTTTTATATATACTTTATAAGCTTAGCTTTATATTATATAGTAAGTAATTTTATATTTTCTTTAGTAGCAATATAAGACTAGGTTTATTTATAGTAGTAGCGTATTAACGTTAATAATATAACACTAAACTTTTTTATAGCTACTCTATATAAAAGTTATTCTTTAAGATTTTACGTATTACCTACTATAAGCGCTTTCTTAATTAGAGTTATAGTAGTAGAGTTATTACGCGTTAAAGTAGGTGGGTCTGTTTTAGGAAGGTGTAGATGGTGTTGCATCCGCTGAACAGTTGCACGCACTGACCACCTACAGTACGGTTGGTCGTTTACTTACTTAGCTCGAAATTTTGGGCGGCCCAAGGTTTGGCCGACATGTGGGGCTTTCGCGCGGAGTTTGGGCTGCTTTGGGACGTGCGTGTTGATCGACATGTTCACAGCATAGTGCATTTACTTAGTTTTCTTTTTTTTTATGAGTGATTCTAACGTGCGGACGCAAGCGACTTTTACAATGCAGTAGTGTGTATAACATACTTCCGATATCAACATCTTCATGTCTTCAACTAGACGTAGGAATATATTCGAGCTTCTATCATACAGTATGTGCCAAGTGCAGTACTATTCTTTGATTTTGCTTCTGAACTCGAATCGAAATGCGTACTTGAATCCAACTTCCAATACACGGACAGATTTGAAGTAAGTATAGCAATTCTACTTTGATTCTTCCTCTTGCAGCTATCCTCTTGATTCTACTGACTCGGCAATCTGACGTGATCATCAACTACACACACACATGACTCTCCAACAGGTTCTTTATCGCCCTAGTTCGGTATATACCGACAAGTAGCTTGCATGGAGTTTTAAATTACCGAATTTAGTGCCGCATCATGTACGGGGGGCATCGGGCTGCCGGCTTGATCCCTGTTCCTACGTACGAGGACGTCTCCTGGCCTTTGCAAGATGCATAGGCAGTCTATAAGGGGGTAGGTGAACCGATCAAGGAATAATGGTTGAAAAAGATCAGGGTGTGTAGGAGAAAGTAGAGGAAAAAGTCTCGCGTGCTCTCGCATAAGAGCACATCGCACATGTACACTCTACCTATATGACGATAACGGCCGGTTGCTACACCTACAACGAACAGGCTGGGAACCGGAGCGAAGATAATTCGCGCACAATACTTAGCTGTTGAACTAGTTTGTCCTTCGGCAAGTTCATGCCGAGGCTGATTAAGGAGGTCGTTGGTATAAGTAGCAGTAGTGGTTCTGCCTAGTACATGTACAACAGCCCAGCAGAATCCTTAACCTACACACCCCTTCTTCATACCACTCAACACCATGAAGCTCGCTCTCGTTCTCGCGACCATCGCAGCCGTCTCATCAGCCGCAGCCGTGATTCCCAGCGAGCTACTAGTAGATAAGCGACAGTGTCTTCTAAACGGATGTAAGTCCACCAACCAACCAACCAACCAACTAATTTCTTCCCGCAAGTATTTCCAGCTACTAATAACGAAAAAAAACAGTCTCATGCGATGGCCGCATTAAGGGCGGAAACTGCTGCTCGGGTAACTGTATAGGTAAGCGGAACCAGATTCTACGCCACTACTTAAGTACTAGGTGTTTTGGAGAGACCGGCTAACTGCTGCGGTAGCTGTCGTATGCAGTAACGCAAACACATTTGCTTGTCAACCTAGCGATCAGACAAATTGCGTTCACTAGACATACTCAGGGGGGGGGTGCTACTACGCTTTGGATTGGGGGATGGGCTGAATGCCTGGTTCAGAGAGCTCGATCATGGAAGAGGGGGGGGGGGTTGGGTTCCTAGTAGGCGGTTTGGATTGCGTGTACTTTTCTACTGCGTTGAAATATACAGACTAGCGCTGATAGACTGAGTCATAGCATCTTTATTAGCGTACAATGTCGGTGTGCTTAGCTTTATCCCTAATATAGCTCCTTAAGCCTCGCTCTTTACAGTAATATTCAGTCACGTGTAAGCTTCTGAAATGGTACATAGATTAGTACACTTGACTAAGTAACCGCCGCCGCTAAGCTGCTGCTGCTCCGCCTGACGACAAAGGCGCCGGAGAATGGACTTGGAGCTAGCTAGGTGCGAGGGACCTGTATTGTATCTGACGTCCAAGTCCATCTATCTATATACCTCTTTTCCTTGATTCCCGTCCATTCCCAACCCTTGAATGCCCCCCACCCCCCACGTTCAATAAAAAAAGGGGGGGAAATCCCGGTTCATTTCATCCACGCGCATAACTAGTATAAAGCGTCTTCCTAGCATCATATATGTACAGCGCGTGACACGAGTCATTCATCCGGTCATTCGCATATCGTGCTTTCACCACTACTTCCCAGCCACTACACACATGCATCTCTCCACCCAACCATATATCCTCATCAACAAAAAACATTTACCCAACCCCATCTCCTCCTACTCTCCCTTCGCTCCCCTCTCTCTCTCTCTCTCTCTCCAAAAAGAAAAAGCGCGAGAGAGAAAACCCACAAATGACTCGTCCACCCATGCAACAACAGTGGAGCCAGTGACCATGACACTGACACTGACACTGACTTAGCAGCAAGCAACTAACTAACCAAGTAAATAAATAAGTGGATCTACATAATGTTCTCTGCACGCGCTAGAAAAGAAAAAGAAACAGGGGTCGTTCGTCTTGGGCGGTAGCGGAGAGAAAAAAAAAGCTTGATACGATATGTGTCATGTGCGTGTGGGTTGGGTGCGAAACGACGATCAAACCTAGATGGATCGGATCGGATCGAATATAGTATATGTGGGATAGTATGTATGTATGTATGGTGGTCATGGTAATATAGATACATAACTAACGCGTGTTAGGCCATGTTTAAAGAAAAAGAGAGAAACAAGAAGCTACGCAAACTAAATCTCGATCCCCACCCTCCGCCGCCGCTGGCGACCCCTGATTCAAGCATGTCATAGATACACATGTAATACAGACGAGGTGAAAAGTCGGTTTATAGTAAAGGGCCTGTTTTCCATATATACATACATACATACAGACTGCGTACTGGGTACATACTCTCATCTTACGACCCATACATCGACATCCACACATCCACACATCCCATCCAGGCCTCAGAGCTGTCAATTGGCGCTATTACAATGCATTCATATACCAAGAGAGAAAAAAAAACGACGTCAAAACGGTCTCGGAAAAGAAAAGAGCAGAAACTCCTATTCAGCGCCAACCGCTCTAAAAAAAAGCAAGTCAGGAAAAAAACGAACAGAACAGAACAGAACAGAACAGACACAAAAAGCACTTTTTCTTATGCAGTAAACGCTAAGAGGCCACGATGACGACTATGCCCCCCGGACTTTTTTTCTTCTACTCATGTGGATGTTGCTGCTGCTGCGACGAGACGCCATTTTCCTTTTCTTCGCTTTCACTCTCCCGTGCAACCGCAAAGCTCTTTCTGACGGCCATATCCGCCTTGGTCTTAGTCATGAGGGCATCGCGGATATCCTGCTTGGAGCGGCCCTTCCAGCTATTGTAGTTCTTCTGGCTGAGGGGCCAAATGGGCCTGTTTCCCTCGCGGCGCATGTATTCGGCGGCGACGGGCGGCGGCTGCGAGGTGATGTAGTCAATGTCCATTTCGAGCTCTTCGCAGTAGGCTTCGAGCGGCAGGTCGTTGACGTCGTGGCCAAAGGGGTTTTCGATTTCGCGGCCAATGGCGGAGAGTCCGATGCTGAGAGGGTGGTTAGATTTCGGTCATCAGGTATAGGCGTATCTTAGGGCGACTTACATGATGTAGGCGGCGAAAATACAGCCGGGAATCGTGATCCAGCGGAGGTTATCCCAAAGTTGGAAGGGCAACATCATGACGTAGACCCATGTGATTTGGGAAATGGCAATCGAATAGGCAATGGGGAGAGGAGTTTGCAGAACACGGTCCATACCAGTGAGGACTTCGTTGAGCTGGACAATGCTGGTAATGGCCTGGTTCTGGTACAATCCAACCTTGAGGGTTTCATTGTCGATGATGCTGTGGACGTAGGCGGCGAGGTGGTTGAGGATTTCAAGCGACAAGTTACCAAGGGGCTTCTTGGAGCGCTTGATCCTCTTGCGGGGGTTGGACTCGGCAAATGTAACACCAAGGTATTCTCCAATGGCCTTGATCTTCTTCTTGTCCGAGGGGGGCGGGATATCAACTTCGGCAGCACGGGCAAAAGTGTCGAGGTACTCAACACGTTCGCGGAGATCGGGGTAGTCGATACCGGGCTCGAATCGAAGCCGGTGCTTGACGGAGCAGGCAAATGCATTGAGCAAGTTGATGGCAGAAAGCTTATTCAGCAAATCCTCCTTGCCAAGGTCGCCTTCACGCTCTGCGGCGTGGATCCAGATAGTCCTCGCCAGGTTCTGGCTGATAAACATGAGCTGACTCCAGTACTTGCGACCTTCGGTGTAGCGCTCATAGGCCGTGCTTGTTCGGAAGGAGATGGCCAAACCGACGACAAAACCAAGAACAGTCAAAAGCAGACTGCTGACAACCAGCGGGTAGACGAATTGGGAAATGCAGGTAATGGCAGTGGCCCAGATAGAGACTACAATCAACGGCAGTATCATCTTCGGAAAGACGGAACCGTGCATTCGCATAAAATATGGCCATTTGCTGTGTTTCGACATGTCGCGAGGTCCGACCTAGTCACTTCCGTCAGCATAGCCGCACACGACCGAGTGCTGGAATGCGGCTCTTACAAAGTAATCCTCGGCGTCAAGGCTGCCGGTAGTCTGGCGCCTCGAGGGGACTTGGTACGTGACGGTTCGGTGCCGCCACGACCGTGGTGATATTGGGCCCTCACTGTCGACATTGTGTGTGGTACTCGACGGCGGCCGGATTTCCAGGTTGTCTGGGCGAAGCGTCTTCGCGGTAGAAGTGGTAGACGCCGCCATTTTGTTGGCAAGTTGGACGAGGAGCACGCGAACAACCGCCCAGCAGTTGCGGAGGTACCGGTCAGGAGTGCAACAGGGCAGTGAGACGGGCTAATGCGGGTTCAAGAGCGAGAGACGGAGGGCAAAGGCAAAGCGAGCGGTGGTGACTGGAAGAAAGCCAAGGTGGAAAAAAGTTGGCAAGGAGCGAAGAGACGCCGACGGACGGCCTGTCTGTATGTAAAGAGAGTAGCAGAGCGGAAACCAGACCAGCCGCAGTAGGGATCACCGCGCCGTATTTAAAGATCAAACGGGCGTATAAGTGCGTGGACACAAAATTTCCTCCCAAGCCCATGGCGCCCACGGGGATTCGCTCCCGCACCTTTGGCTGTCGCCCGTCCTGGTCCGACATGCGATCGAGAGCACACGTTGGCATGCAGGGGTCGTTTTGCAGAGCGTGCCCCCTGAGCAGAGGCCCCGCGGTCTGGCCAATTGCCTCTGGATCTGGGTCGAGTTCCGTCGTATGGCTTCAGCATGGGGGCGAATAAGTGCAGGGGCGCGACGCGGAGTTGTGTTTCATGAAACGCATATTCGCCGTGCCAAGCGCGCCACCCACAGCGGAAATGGGTGTTGTCGTTGTATGCAGCCATGGCGCCGCCCTCGATCGAGGGGGACGCTGCCAGTCGCGCGGCTCCGGTGGTCAGGCGGGCGCTGGTGGGAGCCGGTGATGGTGGCGATGATGGCGATGCCCGCCGTGCTGACTGTCGGGCAGGCGACGCATGACTAGCCGTCGTGGTGCGGGCAGTTGTGTTGGATCGCCATGCGTTGTGTGTCAGGAGCGTTGACTCTTGGATGGCTGGTCTAGACAGCCTCGTGCCGAACCGAGGCTAAGCCTGCCCCTGACGCCGTCCACCAATGGCATTCGCCGCACGCCCTTTGACGTGGAGAAAGCCTCGTCAGCGTCCCGGCACAGCACTGGCATGGGCATCCTCTCGCGAGATGCCTTTTCTAGAATCTCATGGCCATGGCGCTCGCCGTCTCGCTCGACCGGCCGCCGCCCGTCTCAGACATACATGGACGTAGCCGAGACACAATACATAAGTCAGTGCAGTACCGGCAGCCTGGCGGCGATGCTCACAGAACCCCTATACATTATATACTATGCACTTACAGCTACATACTATAGACTACTCATCCACGCATGCATCGTTAGCCTTGCCAACTACCCTCGGGCTTATATAAGTATGTACGTACGTCGCGACCAACCAAGGCCAAGGCCAAAAATAAAAAAAACGCGCACAGAAGACGCCTCGGACGCCCAATGTCCGAGCCGTGTCCTCGTCGAGCTATGGCCCGTGAACGACCAAAAAAGGAGCCATACCAAGCCTGGAACTTCCGCCTCCACCCTCTCTCTATGTACCATCACCTCATCTGGTATCTCCTCATTTCAGCGCGCCCCCTCTCCAATTCCACAGACAGTCCTCTGGTGCGGAACGTCTCCCCGTTGACGCATATTCGCACCCGCTTGATCCTCTCCAGCAATGTGCGGTAGAGCCTCGCCTTCAAGTCGCTTCGGTTCCTCCCCGTGGCAGACCAGATCTTGTCCCAAACGTCCACCAGCTCGTTCCGCAGGAGCTCGGCTGCCCTCTGCTCGTTTTGCGACACAATAATGGTATCCTCGGCGCTGCCGTCTCCTTGGGACCTCGCCCAGGCGTCGTGTGTGTGTGCCACAACGTTCAAGATGACTTCGTCGACACTGCTGATTCGATGATGGCTGTGCATCGCGTCCGGACCGTTGTCGAACATGTGCTTGAGCGCAGCACATATGGCCCAGCATGTCATTTCGTTATATGTCGTCTGTGACCCCGCTATGTTTGCTCCAGTTCGCTCCAATGGTCGAATATCCATCCACAGCCGCTCAACGGTCGAGTAGGTCGGGTTGATGCGTGTCCAGAAGAGTTTGTTCACGGCCATGCGCTTCATCTCTTCGAGCCCTATGTCGAAAAGGCTGCCTATCCAGTCCCCAAAGATTTTGCGTGCCCACGTTTCCTCGTCCTTTGCTTGTCGGTGCTCCGGTGGACTCTCTTTGGCCAGCTTGACAAACGGCACGGCAACCACGGTAAAATAATGCGCATCGTCCTTGACAGCGCAGTCCACTCGTGCAGCAAGCCGCCCCGCCTTCTGCCCTCTGCCCATCATCTGCGTCATCTCCTCGTTGATTTGGCGATTGCATGCTAGAAAGCTCGCACACGTGCTCGGCATTTGCTGTGACGCCATAAAGCACCTAAATTCCGGGACAGCCTGGGATTGGCATATGGGATGCCATTTGGACGCTAATTGCGTGTCTCGGACGCTTGGAAGGGGCCCCGCCGGCATGAGCATCTCCATGTATACCATATCGCGTAATTCGCGTGGAAGATGCAGAAACTGCGCCATTGCAATGCAAAAATAGCTTTTCTCTTGGGTGTTTGGGGGATGGGTTCTTTGGCATCGCGGCCGAACCCAAACACCCGTCAACAGTCACCAGCGTGCCCTTGGCGATCTTGCAAAATCCCGGGGATTCCGGGCTAAACTCTATTCCAGAAGGCTACAGCTGCGTCATGCGTCTATGCCCTGGCGCTTCTGGAGTGCCTGAAACAAGTGTCAGGCAGGCACACCCTGTGTCGACGACACATATGAGCGATGCGATGTTCGAGATAAGTTTCAACTGAAAGGAGCGTCTTAGGGCTGAGCAAACGGGACAACGACTCGTGCGAGCTCCGAGCAATACACGCGTACAAAGACGCTTGCGGGCGAATGGCTTGTTGGAGAGCTCTGGGGAGTGAGCAAATACGGGAGGTCCGGCTGTTTTGATAAGCATGCCACAAAGCTTGGCGTGAGTGATCACTACGTGCACTCGGCCCCATCGGTCCAATACACGAAGCACACATGACGGCAAATCCCCCGAGCATGAAACTAGTCCTCTCGCCATGATGAGCTGAGAACCACTGTCCAACACATGCATGCACCATGGTTTTTGCCATCTTCACCAAGCATAATTACACCACTCGGAATGAATATTTTGATTCAATGGCAAGACAACCTTTGCATCCGCACAAGCATGTCCACCTTGTGCCGGCCATGCTAAACCAAGCAGACAAGTATCACGTTAACACCGCCCTCTGAGCAAGAGGCGGTGACAGAGGTGACTGGGTCAGAGAGAGTTATGAAGCGAACCTTTTCCCCGACTAATATAGAAAAAAAAGATATCACGTTAACCTGCCGTGGCAGAGCAGGACAGCGGTGACTTGGAGCTTTTTGACTCAGGACTCCGCCGGAGCAGAAACAGCTTCCGTAGGCTCGTCAGCAGCAGGCGCCTCTGTGCCCAGGGCACGGAAGCCTTCGGTTGTGATGTTGACGGCCCCTGCTTGTACCAACTATCCTACTGTTAGCGTTGTCGTCATCACACACAGACAGTCGGCGACTTACAGCACGGCTTAGGTCATCCACCAAATCCTCCGCATCTTCAATACCAACACACAGGCGGATAATGTCCTCGGGCATGTTCCTCTCCTTCCTTGTCTTCTCGTCAATGCTCGCATGGCTCATGCGGCAGGGCATGCTGATGAGCGAATTCACACATCCAAAGCTCACACTAATGCCCCAGAGCCTCGCACTCTCCACAATGCGTTCACTAATGGTGACATCACCCGTCTCAAACGATAGCACGGCGCCAGCGCCACGTGCCATGCTCCAATGCAAGTCGTACTGCGGGTGCGACTTGAGACCGGGGTAGCGGACTTTGAAGCCGTGCGATTCAAGGAAGGTAGCGATGCGCATGGCATTTGCCTGTTGCTTCTCCATACGCACGCCGAGAGTCTTGATACCGCGAAGCAGCAACCACGAGTCAAAGGGCGAGAGTCCACATCCGGAAGCATTGATGGTAAAGAAGAGGCGGTCGCCCAGCGCAGAGTCATTGACGGCGATGACACCAGCCATGAGGTCGTGGTGGCCGGAGAGGTACTTGGTGCCCGACTCGTAGACGATATCGGAGCCGAGGTCGAGCGGGTTCAACAGCATGGGCGACATCATGGTGTTGTCTACTGCAACAATGGCCGTGGGGTTTGCGGCGTGGGCGATGCTGGCGATGGCGGGAATATCGCAGATCTTGATCAAAGGGTTCGTCGGCGTTTCCAGGAGCACCATGGCCGTCTTGTTGTTGACGACTTCGCGCACCTTTTCGGGGTTCGTCGTGTCGACGTGATGTACTATGATGCCGCCGTGTGTCGAGAGATACTTGAGCAGTCTGTTTGTTCCGCCGTACAGGTCGTCGCCAGTGATTACTTCGTCACCGGGTCGCAGGAGACGCGTGATGACGTCCAGCGCGCCCATGCCCGACGACACGACGAGTGCGCGGTTCGCGTTCATGATCTTGGCAAGATGTCTCTCGAGGTGTGTCCGCGTGGGATTGCCCGAGCGTGTGTAGTCATACTCGCCGCCGCCGCTCCCAGACTCCTGCTTGAAGGTGGCAGTCTGCGTGCATTAGTCGCTATGCATACAAGTCATGGCTGTCGCCGTGCAACGCCTGGCTTACCTGGTAGATGGGAACGGAGCTGGCATTGTACTGGTCGCTGCTCTCGGTGTACACCAGCTCCGTCATGAGGGCATACTTCCTGCCATTGCGGGGCGAGCTGGGCGCTGGCGAAGGCGGCAGGTTGTGGCCGTCAATGTCGAGCGGAATGGCAGCCTTGCCGGCAGCGGCGGCCTTCTTGGAGCTCTCTCCAGCCATTGCGAGTGCTGAGCGTCCGCGTTGCGGACTGTGTAAAAGCGGAGTGGCGTGGGGCTCACGGGGCTGGTCACTACGGGTTGAGGCGAGGGCCGAAATGCAAGTGTTGACGAGTAGCTCAGGTTCGGAGCAGCGACAGTTGATGTGATCCGCGCGTGCTGGTATCAGGTGTATGAGTCCAAAGAGCAAAGGCGCCACGCCATATGCCCAAGAGCCGTCTGCAAGGCCCTCTAGTCCCTACTTGTGGGCGAGTCACCTGGAATTGCGCCATCGAGAGCAAATCGGCACTTTTCCCTCCGCTCCGAACATCGCCCGGGCGGTTCCGCATCCGGAGCTGGAGCTACCAGGGGGAGGGGGCATTTACCCCATATTAAGACAACAAGTCCACCAGCTAATGCACATACTATACACACACACGCGCACACAGGTGCACACAAGATAACTGCAAACTGGCCCCGCAACGGCTGGAATGCATTTTGATTACCTAGATGCGCGGGTATACCTACTTGGACCAATTTAAGCCTACATGAACAAGTACAACCATTACAAAGAGAACCCGCCATGCGCCTGAACCTGTTTGCCCAGACGAATGCCAATGCTGAAGATACCACCACAAACGCCGTGGATGCCGTTTCAATCAGACAAAACCCCACTCTGCATGCGGAAGAGACGCCTCCGCCCCGTGCTGCAATTTAGCGTGGCGTAATCGCAGGAAAAGCCTTCCTCACATGGAGGTTCATTTTGAATTCAAAAATGCCTTCTTCCGTCCCGCAATACAGTGTCCGTCCGTCCTGGCTCATGGCCAGTCCTGCTGTGCGCACCCCCAGACGCGGATCATGAGTGGTGCGACTTGTTCTGCGGAGCCCAAGACTAAACTCGTAGGTTTCGGTAATAGGCTGCCCGGCACGAGCGTTCCGCAGACGTTCCCGTGCTTGTGTTAGTTGGCGAATACGGCGGAGCTCGTTGCGCAGTTCAGGCGCAGTAGGGTTGCTGTCAGAAGAAGCCGGGTGTGATGTAGCGTTACGGTTGGCAGCCCGTGTCTGTTCAGCAGCAAGAGCTTCCTCGACCGTGCGCCATGCTTCGTCTGTGGATGCGACGAGTTCGCTCGTCACCCGACGCGCTTGTGCCGGCACTGGGTTCGGTGACCGCGTAATCGCAGAGTCGGTGATGTTGCCAAGTGTTGCTGGTGCGTTGATCGTGCCCTCGTTTATCGACACGATCACAGAAGCCTGTCGTCGAGGCGTTGTACGCTCATGAAACCAGCGGGGCGGATGGTTCTGGCCTGTCCTTTCTGACATGAACTGAGCCATTGCCTCGGCCACTTCGCGAGCAGTGGGTTCTCTGCGTCATGTTAGCTCAAAGCGTTTCCGCAAAGACTAGTTCGCAACGTACGGCACCGTATCGAGTAGCCCAGAAGTAGTATAATTGATGCTTCGGGGCGTTATGTCTTGCTCGCGCAACTCTTCGCGCTGTCTATGGCTTGTGCGAAGTGCGCTGAGCACCTGCCTTTCGCGTGCCGTCAACCCCAGTGGATCGTTGTCCGACTCGACTACACCCAGCCGGCGATGCAGCCGCTGCCGCTCGGGATCAGCCTCAAAGTTGTATTCATTGGCAGCATTCACCGTGGATACATTTCCTTCAGTGTCTAGGGCACGGCGGTATCTCCGGATGAAGTCTGCTTCCCGGCGCAGCTCGTGCATTTCCGGGCTGAGAGTCAGATCAAAGTCAGCGAGCTCGACACTCTCCAGGCCTTCTTCTTTCGGGTCCAACGTGATTGTTTGTTTCACCTTCAGCCCAGCTCGCAAGTCAGCAATGCATACTCTGCCTTGGTCTTCGCTCCAAACAAGAAAGTCCCATGGCGCAGGTGAGAAGTGCATCGTGCGCACCGCGCCAGGACCAGTTCGAGTGTCAGGTCGGGTGGAACTAATCAGCTGCAGGATAGCATCCTCTCCATATTCGACAACCTTGAGCAGCTCAACATCAAACACGGTAATGTAGCCACACTCGGACCCGACTGCGCAAAGACGCCCCGAGGGTGACCATGCTGTAGTAAAATAGCCGTCTGCATGCGAGTTTGCAGGCCGGTGCAAGGCGACGTGCTTCAGCAGCTCCCAGTCTGGCGGAGTCGATTGTATCCATCCCTCGGCGACTTTGCCGCCCTTTTGCGATTTGGTTCGCTCAAAGAAGTAGCCGATAGGGGCGTCGCCCACGGCCACCAACATTTGCCCGTCAGGAGATATCGCAGCATGGTTCATTGCAAAGGGTAGGTCCAGCACGGCGAGCTCCAGATTCTGCGTGAGCGAGTAGACGCGCACCGTCTTGTCGTTGTTGGTGAGGACTGCCACCACTTGGTCCGGGCCATCGCCGTCGGCGGGCAGCTTGTGTATGGATATCGAGTTGACAATGTCGGAGCCAATCTTCTCGAGGCGTATGCGCGACGCAGCGCCCAGGAGTGGCGGCCGGGGGAGACGGTGTTCAAAGTCCAGAGGCAGCGAGGCGTCGACATCAGAGGGGTCCGAGGGCGGGAAACCCGTCACTTTGATGGCGGCAAAGTTGCCATGCTCTTCTCCGCCTACACAGACATAGCCGTGGCCAGATGCGGTGCAGCGCGCCTCCCAGGGCAGCGTGGTTACGTGTGCTTGTGTTCGTGTAGCGGCATTGAGGCAGTAGACGGCCGCGCCGCTCGCGTAGTAGAGAAGGTCGGGCTCAGGGCACGAGATGAAATGGCGGAGTTGATAATGTCTGCAAGGGTCAGTCTCCACCGGGCAGTCAGGTGATTGCACAGCGCTCACGCGATGGGTATCTTGGTAGGATAGTAGGCCTTGTGAGCCAATACAAAAGTGTCTGTGTCTCGACTCCTGTGGCCGTCAGTATCCGGCCAGGCGGGCGCAGCGGGCGTGGAGACGTACAGAAAGTCATCGACTGCCATAGTTTTGCGGTCAGGTGGGAGAGGGGTGCATGTCTTCGTGCGTGGTAGCGTGGTGAGCGGAGCGGAGCGAGCTGGGTGAGGTTCGGCGGTGGAGGCCTTGTACGTCACAGGATGCTGGGGCGACACAGGACTGGGCGAGGAGCGGCCGCGGGAGGGCAGTAGTGGTAGAAGATGGATGTATTCAGGCGAGGTGGTAATGCTAGTAGTGGCGGTAACCTACGGAGGCGCGTGGTGATCAGGGCGAGGGTTCGGTATGAGGGTCGGTAGAATGAGTGGCAGTGGCAGCGTTTCGAGGTGCTCCAGGCGACACGACGGAGCGACCAGCATGTCCCCCACACCCGAGCACATGCGCCAAGCCTTGAGCACTGCGACTGCGACTGCGACTGCGACATGCGTCAGTGTCGCCACGGCCATGGCCAGACAGTCGTGGCGGCAAGGGCCAATTGTGCGTACGTACTTAATTGTGCGTACGTACCTAGTGTGCAGAGGCGTTGGCGCGACAAAACCCGCGGCCCCTCGTCTCTTGCGCCGCGTCGCCGCCCGCTGTGCGTTTCTGTCGCCGAGCACAGACGTTTACGGCGGAGCCACCGCCGCCAGTCCACCACCCAAACGAGCTAGAACCTTCTGTCCGAGAATTTTGTCGCCCGTCAAAGCTTCCATCACTACATCATATATTCCAACCCACCCTTCCGCCCACCCTTCATCCCTCGACCCAATTTCCCCGTCGCTCGCCTCCCCTTCCGCAGCGTCTCTCACACACCACAATGCTGTCCTCAAGGTTATCACGGAATGTAAGTCAATTGACTGCGCCTGCGACTTGCCAATGCCTGCCGCTGACCTCATTGCAGTTTTTGCCTCGTGCGGCTTCGGCAGCGCGTCGCACTCCCGCATTCAGGGCCCCCGCCATGTTTGCGCGAGGATATGCCGAGGGCGGCGACGAGAAGGTCAAGGGCTCAGTCATTGGTATTGACCTGGGTACCACCAACTCTGCCGTTGCCGTCATGGAGGGCAAGGTCCCCCGCATTATTGAGAACTCTGAGGGTGCGTTCCAGTCCAGGCAGCCGTGATGCGAGGCCAATGCTGACTCTGCAAACAGGTGGCCGCACAACACCATCCGTCGTTGGCTTTACAAAGGAGGGCGAGCGTCTCGTCGGTATTGCCGCCAAGCGCCAGGCTGTCGTCAACCCCGAGAACACTCTCTTCGCCACCAAGCGTCTCATCGGCCGCAAGTTCACGGATGCCGAGGTCCAGCGTGATATCCAGCAAGTACCATACAAGATTGTCCAGCACACCAACGGTGACGCCTGGCTCGAGGCCCAGGGACAAAAGTACTCGCCTTCGCAGGTTGGTGGTTTCGTCCTCGGAAAGATGAAGGAGACTGCCGAGTCCTACATGGGCAAGACGGTCAAGAACGCCGTTGTCACTGTCCCTGCCTACTTCAATGACTCCCAGCGTCAGGCCACCAAGGACGCTGGCCAGATTGCTGGTCTGAACGTTCTCCGTGTCGTCAACGAGCCCACTGCTGCCGCTCTCGCCTACGGTCTTGACAAGGCCACCGACAACGTCGTGGCTGTCTACGATCTTGGTGGTGGAACCTTTGATATCTCGATTCTCGAGATTCAGTCCGGTGTTTTTGAGGTCAAGTCTACCAACGGTGACACTCACCTCGGAGGTGAGGACTTTGACATTACTCTCGTCCGCCACCTCGTCGACCAGTTCAAGAAGGAGCAGGGCATCGACTTGAACAGCGACCGCATGGCTATCCAGCGTATCCGTGAGGCTGCCGAGAAGGCCAAGATTGAGCTTTCGTCGTCCTCGCAGACCGACATCAACCTGCCTTTCATCACTGCCGACGCTTCCGGTCCCAAGCACATCAACACCAAGCTCACCCGTGCTCAGCTTGAGAAGATGATGGACCCGCTCATCACCCGCACTGTTGAGCCCGTCCGCAAGGCTCTCAAGGACGCCAACCTCAAGGCCACTGACATCTCCGAGGTTATTCTCGTTGGTGGCATGACCCGTATGCCCAAGGTTACCGAGTCTGTCAAGAGCATCTTCGGCCGCGAGCCCGCCAAGTCGGTCAACCCCGACGAGGCTGTTGCCATTGGTGCTGCTATCCAGGGTGCCGTCCTTGCTGGCGAGGTTACTGACCTTCTTCTGCTCGACGTCACTCCTCTGTCGCTCGGTATCGAGACGCTCGGCGGAGTCTTCACTCGTCTGATCAACCGTAACACCACCATCCCCACCAAGAAGTCGCAGGTCTTCTCTACCGCCGCCGACTTCCAGAGCGCTGTTGAGATCAAGGTCTACCAGGGTGAGCGTGAGCTTGTCCGCGACAACAAGCTCCTCGGCAACTTCCAGCTCGTTGGTATTCCCCCGGCCCACCGTGGTGTGCCCCAGATTGAGGTCACCTTCGACATTGACGCCGACTCGATTGTCCACGTTCACGCCAAGGATAAGTCGACCAACAAGGACCAGTCCATCACCATTGCCTCTGGCTCTGGTCTCTCTGAGGCCGAGATCGAGAACATGGTCAAGGATTCGGAGCAGTACGCTGAGCAAGACAAGGAGCGCAAGAACGCCATTGAGGCGGCCAACCGCGCAGACAGCGTCGTCAACGACACCGAAAAGGCCCTCAAGGAGTTTGAGGACCGTCTCGACAAGGCCGAGGCCGAGAAGATCAAAGAGAAGATTGCGTCCATGCGCGAGTTCATCTCCCAGAGCCAGTCTGGCGAGGGCAGTGCCAGCGCCGCCGAGATCAAGGAGAAGACCGACGAGCTCCAGAATGCTTCTCTGAGCCTGTTCGACCAGATGCACAAGGCCCGCTCTGAGAGCCAAAACCAGAGCGAGCAGCCTCAGCAGCCCGAGGGTGAGGGCGAGAAGAAGCAGTAAATGCTTCTGATTGCTAAGCTCTGGTTTTGTGTTTTCTGTTGGTATTTTTCACGTCCAAAAGTCGGCGTCTTGCATTCGGTCACGGCGGGTGTGTCGGGTCTATGTCTAGACTTCGCTGTCCCTCTCCGTGTTGAGCATCTGTGTACCATATTTCGACGATTTCTCTTCTCACATTAGCGTTTGTTTTATTACCCATTACGGATCTTTGGTTCATGTCGGAATAACGAAAGAGAGATATCCTCTGGCGAACAAAAGATGATGTGGGATGATGTAATCCCTGGCGGAGCCAATGATTATTGTACCATAGCCTAGAGATGCGAGATGGTAGCGCTCAGCTAACTTCTCCGCTCTACAATGAATGATTGAAATGTTCATATCCAAGTGCCAGCGGCTGAAGAATCTGTCTGCGCGTGACATGTTGACAACGGCCTGCTTCGGGTTTATTTGTTATTGCCGAGACTCATCACGCCGCTCACGTCCGATTGATGTGTACAATTTGCCGCTTATTAAGATTTTGTGTACATGTTACGTCACTACTAGCCGTCTACTTCCGTGTCTTCGGATTCTATCAATGCACCGCCAAGACCAAGTCTTTGATTCGACCTCCCATGTACGCCGCTCGGACCCTCCATACTTTTGCATACTCAGGCGCTATTTTCGCACGTACTCGCTGCATTATACGGAACACCTGCACCGTTGCAAGAGACTGTGAGCCAAACAAACTGCCGCTACGTTCTTGGATTCGCAGTGTCGTTGTGCAGCCAAGACTCTCTGGATCTATTTACAGTGCACGTTACAAGTCTACGGCGTCTAAGCCCAAGCCTAAAATGACCGACTCGACATATCAACCCCTCTCTGGCTTGTGGGAACCCACACAACTGCAAAGACTACATTACGGCGCCGACTCAGTCAACAAGTATTTGCTTGCCTGTCTTCCAAAGGAATCCAGCAAGGCCTTTGTCATCACCGGTAACTCACTGGCCACCAAGACTCCCTTGGTGAAGCAAGTAGAAGAGCTTCTGGGGGGAAAGCATGCTGGAACATTTAGCAAGATTGGCGAACACGCACCTGTCGCACAGCTCGACGAAGCCACTGATTTAGTGCAGAAGGATGGAAGCATTGACACGGTCATCTCTATTGGTGGTGGAAGTCCGATTGATAGCTCAAAAGCCATCAGCTATCGTCTCCACGAAAAGACTGGGAAATTTTTGCACCACATTGCTATTCCAACGACTCTGAGTGCGAGTGAATGCACGTTCATGGCAGGCTATACGCAAGCCAACGGCGTGAAGACGGGAGTCAAGGCCCAAGAGCTCGCACCTCAAGTTGTGCTTTACGACGCCAAATTTGCTCTGCATACGCCTGAGCGGCTGTGGACGAGCACCGGCCTGCGCGCCCTCGACCATGCCATAGAGTTGCTTTACCACCCCACCGCTTCCGAAATGCCAGCGCGTTGGTTGGCATTGCAGAGTGCAGCAACTTTATTGGACGCGCTACCAAAGTACAAGAAAAGTCCCAAGGATGAGGACCTAATCACCAAACTCCAGCTCGCTGCCTTTGGCTCGCTAGGATCCTTAGGCTACAACGTCAAGGGTGGACTCGGTCTCTCGCATGCGCTAGGCTATGCACTTGGTTCTCCATATGGCATTCCGCACGGCATCACGTCTTGCCTCACGCTGGGCCATGTCGTCAAGCTCAAGGCACAGGACCCCTCGGCGGCTCAACAGGTTGCTCGTCTTCTTCCTTTTATCGGTGAGCCTGTTTCTGGTAACACACAGGCGGACGCAGCGTTGGTCGGAGATAGGATTCTGAAGCTAGTCAAGGACTTGGAGTTGGATAGCGACCTGAGAAACTACAAGGTGGGAAGAGATCAGATCCCGGTGATTGTAGAGAGAGCAACAGGTGGGATGAAAGAGGGGCTGATTCATGATGCAGTTGAGGGGTTGGTCAAGGGGTTGTTCGTTTGACCAGCTGGAAGACGGTGGCTCTAATCAGATGTTCCGATGATAGATATGACGGCCAGGTTTGCAAACTCAGAGTTCACGTCCGGCAAGTTTAATGGACCTTTTGCTTGCCAAGTGTCAGCCCGGATCTCTACGCATTACCTTGCTTACAGCCGGGATGTCTGTGCGTTGCAGTAAGTATCACGTGCGGCGATCTAACTTTTTTTCAACTGCTCTATGAGTTATTTTAGGCGCTTGTAATACTCAACAAATTTACTGGGTTCCTGTAAGAGTTAGAGTTTACGCTCTTACATTTGCGTACTCGCACTATAGTCTCGCTCTGCTCTCAACAGCCTTGATGCCCTTGCATGCCTGTGGTCCGAAATTTGCTGTGTGGAATTCCAGAGCATCTGCTGTGATTGTTCACGCAGATGAAAGGGCTGAGATGATGGAAGAGTGTTGTTGCCTGGAAGAGCAGAGGACAGATATGTACATGGGGCGAAGGAAGATGTGAATCATCTGCGCATAACATGTGAATACCCAGGCGCATCATGAGCTACATACTTGGGCCTGAAATGTCAAAAGGACTATGGTTCTCACGATCGACAGAGTACACATCAAGACGTCTGGTTTGGAAAGGTACATTCTAAATCAGTCACCACTGGCCACAGGACTTGGTACTGGAGGACTACCAGCACTTGACATGGCGTTGAAGGGGAAATGATTGGATCACTGGGTGCAGAGGCCATGCCATGTGTTAGCAAGCGAGACACGTAGCTTTAATCAACGAGGCGGGACTCGATGCGTGGCTTTGTCTTCAAACAAAGAGGAGCGTCAGCGCACATGAGAGAAAGGGCGGCGGCAGGGTGTAGCGCTCGGGCCAATGACGCTATTCGCACCCTACACCCCCCCTAGACCCCATTACCGTCATGCTTGGAACATGATGCTCACATGCAGGCACAGGCGGACCACCCTTAGCAAACGGCCCGTCTGCGTCCGACACGGGACTCATGCACCGCTCGGTCATGGCGGCGCTGATATGCCTAGACCCTTCTGTCCCGCTTACCCCAACTTTTACCCCTTATAGCTGAGGCAAGGTCTGCCAGGTCGCACTACCTAGCCCACCTTTTTACCAGACATGATGCCAGACGCGCCCGTCGAGGCTGCCATTGTGCACGACACCATGGCACATGTGCCAATCGTCGTCGAGCCACCCGGGGATGCAGAAGAGCGCGGCCGCCTGAAGCGACGCAGGCATTCATCTCTGCACTCTCCACGCCGTGCATCCTCTCCATCGCGCGGCCACGACCGCACCAGCGGCTCCCGCTATCGAGATCACCACCGCAAGCACCACCGTCCATCGTCGCCTCCGTCGTCCAGGTCGCCAGCCTCTTCAACGCAAAAGAAGACGCGGCGCAGCAGCGATGGCGAGGCGGACCATACCTTCAGAGGCCGGGCGCGCAACCGGAGCATCAGCAGGGCAATGACGCGGAGCCTGATTCTGGAAGACGAAAACGCGTGCACGGAGAGCGAGGACGATGGCAAGAGGTTCCGGAGGAGGAGCCCCCCGCCCAGTCGGCACCGGGCGAACGAGACGGAGCTGGGGGGCGAGGTGCGGCGGCAGAGGAGCTATCCAAACCTCTACAAGGTAGACAGGAGGGATTCAAAGGGCGACCAGGTGGGTATTGTGGGATCTGCTACGGCTACATAAGTCACGGCGGCGCCCCACCCCACCGCTGACGAACAGCACTAGCATGTTCGCCTATGCAGTCATGTGCATACGGACGGCAATGGTTTGAGCATGGCGTTATGGGGCTGTGTGTTTCTGCTTGGTATCATGGATGATGCGGATGTGGACGAGGGCGAGGACCATAGTACACGGTGTAATCTCATCATGGCGTCTGGCGTTTGCCACAAGACTTGTTTCTGCAGTACGTGGCTATTTGGTGGCAACCCCGTGTGTCCCGGTGCGGCGCAGAAGCGGAACAGATGCTTACGTGATGCGCCTGTGGCTGTGGCTGTGCCGGGGCTTGCTGGGGCGCACAGAAGGAGAGGTGGCGCGGGCAGGACAGGACAATGAATGGGCAGCTCCATGGAATGCGCCGCCCATGCCAATGCAGAGAATCTTCTCCGCGCAGTCGCCCTCGCTCCATCCGACGTCTCCGCACTGCTCACCTCATCCCCATCGCGCTCGGCGTCTCGAATCTTCCATACCGCGGCGGCAACAAAAGCCCCACGCCCCCGCCGCCTACCCAATCATCGAAGCTAAACTCCGCCCTCACTCCCGCCGCGACTAGCCACCGCTCTCCCTCTCTCTCCATTGCCCTGCCCCTCCCGTGATGCCTCCGCCAGGCAACGAATATGCCGCCGAGCAGCTGAAGAACGCTGGCAACAAGTGCTTCAAGAATGGCGACTACGAGGGCGCAGAGGGCCTGTACTCGCAGGCCATCCAGAAGAACTCGGCCAACCCGCTGCTCTTTACTAATCGCGCCAATGCGCGGCTCAAGCTGGAGAAATGGGAGGGCGTCATTGATGACTGTATTCGGAGTATCGAGTTGCTGCAGGAGAATATGAAGGGCTTTTTCTACTTGGGTATGATTGACTTTCCGAGCACCTGTCTAGCCCCACGACCGCGCCACCCGCACGGCGGCATGCTTTCAACATAGCACCCCGGCTAAGATTCACATAGCACAAGCACAACTGGCCATCAATCACCCCAATGAAGCCCTGGCATCGGCCCTCAGAGCCTATGAACTATGCACCACATCGACGCAGCAAACTTCCAACGCTGCCACCATCTCCGCCCTGGTCCTCAAATGCAAAAAGGCCAAATGGGACATTCGCGAGCGCGAGCGCATACGCAGACGCGGCGATCTTCTCGCTGACCTCGAGTCCATGCTGGAAACACAGTACAAAAAGGACATGGACGAGATCGAAGCTCGCATCGAGACGAGCGAAACCAGCCGATCAGATGGCCAGGAAGAGAAGGCAGAGCGTAAGCTGGAGTTCGAGAAGAAGCGCGACGATCTGCGAACAGCGTTTGCAATCTCCGACCCGGACCACCAGCAGAAGCGCGAGGTGCCCGACTACCTCGTTGATGGCATCACGTTTGAAATCATGCACGATCCCGTCGTTACCAAGAATGGCCGGTCTTACGAGCGTGCCACGCTCATTGAGCATTTGAAGCGCAGTCCAACCGACCCGCTTACGCGAGAGATACTGAACATCAACGATCTGAGACCAAACATTGCACTCAAAGAAGCCTGTGAAGAGTTCATGAGTGCGAACTCGGGGTGGGTGTATGATTGGTAGGTTTGCGCGACTTCGTTGGTCCGCGGTTGACTCGGCAGGTATGTGGCATCGAGGGGTACCTGTTGCGGGGGAAGGACTTGAAGAACGTTTGCTGACCGCGTCACAGTGAAGATGGGGAAGTGGATAGAGATGCACGTTGGGCACATCTTTCATCGATATAACATTAATATCGCCTCTGCGATCTTTGTTAGGTATAACCGCCTTGTTTGCATTGAATGGCGTTGAAGGGTACCACACTCTCCTGTCGTGGGTATTGTTTAGACAACATTCAGCGTCGTTAATCAGTCTTAGTTTTATACCCATGATATTGCTGCATCCAACGGTTTTTTTTTTGTATTTTTCGGCTTTCTCAGGCGTTCTCGCTACTAGACATTGGCATTCAACGCAGTCCAGGCAAACATATTCTTCATGATTATGAGTACGGCATATCTGGAATGATCTATACTGACAAGGCAATACTCAAGCTAGTTTTTGACTTGGATAGATTTGGATAGACTTGTAAGTTTGATGAGTATTTTAGCTTAGGTGTAAGGTTTGCACCCTGGAAAGGTAGCGTAAATATGATTGCTCTGCTACTTCACTCTAAACAGGCATCATCTCCCCTCTCATTTCCAGCATACTACTTTTCACTCTCTCCATACAACGCATCCAACTCCTTGGTATACTTCTTCACCATCTCGGTTCTTCGTACACTTCCCTTTGGAGTTTTCAAGAACGGCTTATTCACCACAACAACCATCCCCCTCTCCACACGCGCATAAACGGGCGAATCGGCATTGACCTCTTCGATTCCTCCCCACACATCATCCAGCCCGACGCCCGGTTCCAGCCTCACAAGCAGTGAAGCCTTGGGCCGGCGCGTGCCCACAATCAGCGCCTCCGCAATGCCCGGATGCGACCGGAGCCGGTGCTCGGCAGCAGTGGGGAAAAACTTTTCGTTTGTCACGAAAACCAGCAAGTCGTCTGCGCGGCCATGGTGTTTCCACATGTTGGGGTACTTGGGGTGCTGAACGAACAAGTCGCCCATGTTCTTTTCGCGCACGTCGGCGGGAAACAGCCTGAACAGCGGCTGCACGTAGCCATCCCACGCCTTGCCGTCGTTGCGCACCAGCACCGCATCGCACACCAACTGACCCGCCGCATCTTTGGAAACAGGGTCCAGCCGCATGTTGAGCGCGGGATGCGGCATCGAGTACTCCCATATCCCGTCGTCCTTGAGGTCGTCGTCTACGCGCCGCACACACGGCCAGAAGCCCTGCTCCGTCGACCCTAAACCGCATATCAGAGCTACTTTCTGCACCACCTTGTCGCCTGTCGCCCGCGATATCGCGCCCCCGCCATAGCGCACTCCCGTGGTTCTGCGGGCGATCTGCTCGAGCCTGGCCGGGTACTTTGCCAGGACCTCGATGTGAGGCGGAACCATGTTGATCATATCCACCACCTTCTCCTCGTCGTCAGTTGCATTCTCGCCATTACTCCTCCCGTTTCGCTGCAGCTTCCGCTCCGACGCGAGATAGTCCAGCGCAGCGATGACGCGGTCGACGACTTCTTCGGGCGTGGAGCCCATGGTCGGATATATGGGTATGATGCCCAAGAACAGCGCGAGGAAGAGCATGCTGGTGATTCCGCTCGCGTGATATGGCGGGTACACGACCAGGACGTTTGCGTTGCCTTGTCCGTTTTTCCCACGCAGGAGCCAGTCCGTCGACTTGAAGCCCGCGGGTGGCGGCAGGCGCACGGTGCCTGAGAGGCTGCTGGCCCATTCGTGTGTCCAGAGGATGGGCTTGGGGAATCCGGTTGTGCCAGATGTATCTATACTCACGTTAGTTTGTCCCCTTCCTTGCCTTTTGCGTTTTTATCTCAAGGGAAAAAACTATATGACATAGCATGGGAACTGCAAACTTACGCAAACATATCAGCGGCTCATGTTTGTGCTCGGCAAACGTCTTTGAAAACGGATACCGCTCCACCTCGTCCCTTGAAAATAGCTCTTCAACACTCGGCACGCTATGCGTCTGCAAGCTTTTCCTCTCCAGGATCTCGGCTTGCACGGGATACGGCGATTCGGACGTCAGCAGCGCCGTTGCGCCCACCGTCTCCAGCAGCTTGACCAGGGCCTCTGCGCCGTATCGCGGCGAGGGAAAAAGCATCTATGTAGGGCCATGACACCGCAATTAGCTCCATCCACATCTTTCTCCACGCATTGTACTCTGCACAGCGCGGCTCAAGTAAACAGCTTTACATACCTTGTACCCAGCCACCACGCTCCCCAGACAAAACACCGCATACCGTATATCATTCGGGCCCATGTACACCAGCGTCTCACTCCCGTTCTTCTGGCCTTCCTCCAGCTTGCCCACATTCTCGTCGATCCACCACGCAAACGCGCTCACGGCCCGCGCCAACTCAGCATATGTGAAGGTGCGAAACCCCCGCGACATGTCGCCCGGGTCGCGCGGGAACTTGGCGTACGTGAGCGATGGGTGTTGCGCTGCGAGCCGGAAAACAATGTTGGGAAGTAATTCGCCGTGGAATTGCGGCCATGGTGTTGGGCGTGGCGACATGGCTGGCATGTATCTATGTGTGTATGTGTATGTGTGTGTGTGTGTGTACTGATGAGTGATGGGAGTACTGGAGGGGAGGAACGTGGATAAGTTCGTTTTCCGGATCGGGAGGGGTATCAAGTATATATAATACGTAACTATGTATAATGGAAAATGAATAAAGAAAAGACAAGAAAAGGAAAGAAGAAAAACACACAGAACACCTACGTAGAACTATTTGACTAGTTGCAAGACATCCATACTTGATCAAATGCCGCGTCTTTCTTCCTTCCTTCCTTCCGTTTTTGCTGTTTTCCTAGATGATATCCTAGGTCTTATGGCAAGCGTACCCCGCCTCCGGCCAGGTTTCAGTCTCACCGTACCCGTAACGTGTCGGACGGTGAGACGGTAAGTAAGTACTAGTAAGTCGGGGTGTGTGTAGTGGATATGACTACATCCATCCATCCATCCACCCACCCACCCACCAAGCTCGGCCCCCCCCCCGCCCACTCTTAACACCAAAACACATAAAGTATACATCACATATCTTTTTTTTTTGCCTTGGGCGTAGATGCGTGGAAAAGCAGATGCCGTCTGTCTCCCATGGTCAGTTTTTTTTCATTTTTATTTTTTCCGGTGTGATCCCTGATTGTTGGGGGAGGGGGGAGGGGGGAGGAGGAGAAGAAGCGCGTGTTAAGTACTCCAGGAAAAATAGACTTTACAAATGTGCAAGGATGGGACGTTAGCCTTGAACTCTTCGGGGCTGGGTCGCAGGGTTTCAACGGGCGAAGCGGGAACCGGGACTTTTTGCAATAATGGTGCGTTACGACGTCAGAGGGGTAGTTGGTGGGGTTGGGAGGGGGAAAACAAGGCTATAACTCGGTGATTTGCGGGGTTGGATAAAGTCTGTTGGTAATATCAAAAATATACTATGTACATATATACACGTGGTTCAAAGGACAGGTATGTCATGTGCTTATACGTTGCCGCTTAGTTGCTGCTTCCAGCCTGCGGGGCAAGTGCCGGTACAGTCTAGCCCACTGTCGCTGTTCATGTTGCTACATAGGACTTTCTCTTGGCCACCCCTGGCGGGCTTGATGTTGATGTTGTTGAACTTCAAGCCGGTGCAGGGTGCGGCGGCACTGCAGTAGATGGCTGTAGACACGTCGTATGCCGATGTGCCTGTGATGTTCTCCCAGGTAATGTCGGAGATCTTGAGGTGCGAGGAATCGCAGTTGGTGTACGAGTAAATGCAGGGCGACACGTAGATGGGCTGGTTGACGTCTTGGATCTTGAAGTTGCGGAATGTCACGTTCTTGACGTGGCCGGTGCCCGGGTACGTCTTGATCCATGCCGCGTTTGAGCTGTAGATGGCGGTGATGTCTTCGAAGAGGATGTTGTCGACTGTCTCGGGAATGTTAGGAGGGTTGCCCAGGCTTCCAATCACCATGGCGCCGGAGCCGTAGCAGGTGGCATTCTTGACGTGAACGTTGGTGCTGTTTCCCTTGATGGAAATGCAATCCTTTATATAGGTCAGAATGTGGTTGCTGAGACAATTTGAGTGGAAGGCTTACATCGCCGCAGGTCACGGTCCAGTTCTGCAGGAAGATGTCTTGCGCGTTCCAGCTGTCAAAGCCATCGGTGTTGACAGTACCCCACTGTGATGAGGAGACGGCCTTCATATCGAGGTTTGTCATGGTGACGTTTTGCGAGTGGGCGACAAATGTGTGCCTGTGTTGCTATGAGCAATTTAGTCTGTAGATACAACGCAGAGGCTTACCAGAACTGTGTCTGTCTCCAAGTGATTCCGTCGACAACGACATTCTTTGCGTTCCAGAGTGTCAGGCTGATTGGCCTACCCGCCATGTTACTGCCATCGCGGTTGGCGTCGTACCACACCTGGCCATTTCCATTAAACAGTCCTTGTCCATGGCCCAAGAGTGAGAAGTTTTCGCCTCCCAGACGGAATGCCGTGCTCCTCTGCTGGAAGACGACACTGACGCTGTTCTTCACCCAGTACTGGATGTCAGTGCTCCAGGTCAGTGTGCCGCGAATGTTGATTTCGCAGTTGGTCAGGTTGAGCACATCCATGACTTTGCCGATGGAGTAGTTTCCCTCGGTGATGTCTACCTTTCCGTTCTGTCCGCATTGGTGGAGGGCATCCAAGATGTAGGGACTGTCATCGCTGGATCCAGAGGGAGTGACGGTGCATACGGAGCCCGTCTTGGTCATGCCAGCAAAGGCTGGAGCGGCCAAGAGGCATAGCTGCGCGAGGTTACGAAGAAACATGATGAGAGAGACTAAGCCTTGATGTCAATGACAAGCTTTTGGAGGAGCGCAGCTTGGCTATAAATGACCCTGTTTAGAATGCTTGTCTTTGAATTGTGGAGCATCTAAAGCATCAATTAGAGTGCTACCTTAGTCAGGGAGCACATTTAGAGAAACGGGAAAATTGAACATCATGTTGTGAACGACACGATTGGCGCAAATACTGCCTGTGGCGCTCGTCCCCTCGTAAATCCGGCCATAAACACGGCTGATCACGGCCGTTTAGGTAGAAGTAATTAGCCTAGACAGCCGGCCAGCGGGGCACGGAAGACATTCTGTCACCAGTCAGTGTCGAAGATATTCAATCTTTATGCCAGTGATGGAAAAATTGCCGCTTCAGGGCTGCATGAAACAATCAAAGTACAGTATTGGGGGCCGACTGCAGGGCTCACTAGAAGGCTGTGTGCCGCGAAAGAATAGCTGGTGGATATGAGAAGAGTAGCAACGAGTTCGTGAGACTGAATAAAGTTTAGTATCTGCCGAATGTGAGAATGGTCAGTGTTCAGGTCAGCAGGACTGTGATAAGCCGCGTGTCGGTGTGGCCTGAGGAAGGATAAGCAGATGAGCGACTGGCAATGAGCGTGAGCATAGTTGAAACACGCGCACAGGCGTACGAGCCCGAGAGGTGAGCCCAGTGGGGCTAATGGGGGGGTGAAACATGGAGGTGGTAGATTAAGGGTGTTGATAGCAATTGGGGAGACGGGAGGGAACGAGGCTCGGGTGTGCCAAGCCCACGTCATTGGGCCGTTTGCGAGTTTCACGGCGCCGGGAAACACTCGACGACGACCAACCAATTGCCCGGCCATCGAGCGTCGCATGGACTGCGCACCACGCTCATTATCATGAACAGCATCGCCAGTATGCGTGCCTTGCGCCTGCGGCCCTCGATAGCTCGGAGCCGCCTGTCCCACCGCCCGTTCCACCCCTCGACGCGACATGCTACAACCTCGACCTCAACCTCGGCCACGGCCACGGCCACGCAGGCCGCTACAAACGTTCGGTCGACTGGCACCCGTGCAAAGAACTTTCTATATGGCTCGCTGATTGCCATCGGAGGCTCTTTCGGCTATCTCTACGTCACCGATACGCGTGCCAGCATCCACGAATGGCTGCTTGTGCCTGCACTGCGGCTCATCTACCCCGATGGCGAGGAGGCCCATCATGCCGGCACTCAGATGCTCAAGGTCCTGCATAGTTTCGGCATGAACCCCCGCGAGCGTGGTGTCGCCGACTCGCAGGGCGATCTGGCCGTCGAGGTCTTTGGGTACACGTTGAACAACCCCATCGGGACATCTGCTGGAATTGACAAGGGTGCCGAGGTCCCCACACCGCTGTTCGACCTGGGTGCAGGCGTTGTCGAAGTCGGAGCAATCACACTGTTGCCGCAAGAAGGCAACCCAAAGCCGCGTGTGTTTAGGATCCCCAGCCAGAACGCCCTAATCAACCGTTATGGATTCAATTCCGAGGGTGCAGAGCTGGTAGCTTCCAGGCTGCGGCAACGCGTGCGCGAGTTTGCCTACCACGCCGGCCTTGGACTGGGCGAGGATGCCGAACAGCGAGTGCTGGATGGCGAAGCTGGTGTGCCGCCTGGTTCGCTGCACAAGGGACGACTCATGGCTGTACAGGTCGCCAAGAACAAGACGACCTCTGAAAACGACATTGACGCCGTTGTGCGTGATTATGCGACTGCTGTGGGTTATGTCGGAAAGTATGCAGACATTCTTGTAGTCAACGTCTCGTCGCCCAACACGCCCGGTCTCCGCACCCTCCAGAATGTCGAACCTTTGACAAGACTCCTTTCAGGTGTTGTCAGCGCCGTCAAGAACATTGACCGTAAGACTAAGCCTGCCGTCATGGTCAAGGTCAGCCCCGACGAGGATTCAGAGGAGCAGATTGCCGGCATTTGTGAGGCTGTGTGGTACTCTGGTGTGGATGGTGTCATTGTTGGTAACACGACGAAGAAACGACCAGACCCGCTTCCCAAGGGCTACCTCCTCTCACAGTCAGAGGCCAAGATCCTCCTCGAACAAGGTGGATACTCTGGGCCACAGATGTTTGAGCGCACACTGGCCCTGGTAAGCAAGTACCGCAAGGCGCTTGACGAAGGCCCAAAGCAGATTGCACTGCCTGCAGAATCCGAAGACACGAAGCCTCTTGCTGGCCAAACCACGGGTGACGAGCCTTCACCCAGCATTCTAGAGAAACTTGAGTCCTCAGTCTCCACCGAGTCGTCCGACACCAAGGCCACACTCGATATCGATCAGCCCGCACCCGCACCCGCATCCTCTGACTTTGACGACATTTCCAAATCTGCACCAACTATCACCCTGCATTCCACACCAAAGGTTGCGCCTGCACCTGACGCGCCACGCAAGGTCATCTTTGCCACGGGAGGTATTACCAATGGCCGACAAGCACGAGAGGTTCTCAATGCCGGAGCAAGCGTCGCACAAGTGTACACAGCCATGGTCTATGGAGGTGCAGGCACAATCAGCAGGATCAAGCAGGAGATGAGGGACGATGCCAAGGCTCAAAAGACCATTACCAAGTCGTAGCGTAGACAAAAGGATATAGACTGGAGTTGACTTTTACACGGGCGTCAAATTCAAGCACATTTCTAGCGAGGCTGGTGATAAACCTGTGTCGAATGGGTGCACTGACATGAATTTTCGCCTCTATCAGCCGTGAAATATCATTCAACAAAAAACACATCAACCGAACTCAGTCTTTCACGGGACGCCTTCACCTGGAACGAATGACGCACGACGCCGACCTGAACACTACATGCCGACACAAGACCTGAGCTTGTCACCAGATATTACGATTAAAGCTTACATTTGATCGTCTAACATCAGACTGTCATCCATGTCCAGGAGAGAAGTTTTCTATGTGCCGTTCTCATCAATCTATATACATCGTCCCGACCTCCACTTACTTCTGGAATCACGCCGCACCAATCTTGCTCTCCAAGAACCTGGGCGCAGGGCCCGCAGCATCGGCATTGTAAGAAAAGTGAGCTGCGGTAATGTAAAGAGAACCAAGGCATACGAGATCGCCAGCGGCACAGTACACCTTCAAGTTCGACTGAGGGTAGCTCTGGATTGCGCCGCCGTTCTGGTAATTCCTGGTGTAGCCAAAGAGAACGATGCCCTTGACTTGCTTGCGGACGGCGTCCGAGAGCTTGGGGACAGCGCCGGCCATGACGGCAGTTCCTTGGCTATATGATGGATTAGCAAATGATACAAAGTCAAATTATAGCGGGGGAAGACATACCTGTAACCACCAGCAACAATGGGAGTACTAGGGCACTTTGTGTTGGCCTGTTTGAACAGTCTCACAGCCTCGTTAATGGAAGCAGTCGAAGTACCGCCTGGGAGGATGTTGTCGTATAACCCCGCCCCGTATGGGCCACCAACACCCTGGACCCAAACGTTGCTGGCGCCATAAGTGCGCTGCAGAGCGGATGCAACGGCCGGACCTGTGGATATGCCCTAGCGTTTCTTGTAAGCCAAAAACCGTACGGCCGTATTACACGAGAGCGTATGTGTGTGTCTGACTCGCAGCACAGACGTACCATGTTTCCAGGCTCGGTGCTAGCACGAGCAAAGATGAAAATCACCTTGGGACAAGCCCCCGCCCTCCCGTTCTCAAGATCGTTGCTGGTGCTGGATCCGCTCAACTGCCGGCTCTGGATTGCCGCCTCAGAGACTGGCATGGTAACGGGCGAGGCGGCTGCCAGCGCGGTGATGATGGAAAGAATGAGATACTTCATCTTGAGGTGCGTGAAAAAAGCGAGTAGAAGAAGAAGATCCAAAGAGCGAATAGACAAAAAAAAGTTACTATTATGTATAGTAGTAGTAGTCGTAGTAGTAAATGCTCTCTCTAAAGAAAACGCCCGGAATGCTTGGTGCTATGCGTGTAATGTTCCAACAGCCAGCCTCAAGACCGTTATATATATATATATACCTCTGACATTTGATGTACAAGTCATGGAAAATAACTCCTCCCCTTTGGGTGCTGCTAATTAGCGCTCCACCACCCGGATTAGCAAGCCTCGTTCGTTCGTATCGCAGCACGGACCCCCCGGCGCGAAAAAAAGAAGCAATGTTTGACGCACCTGAGGCCGTTTTGGGGAATGGCTAGGAGGAGCAGGATGTACGTACTTGGAAGAAGAGGAATAAGAAAATAAAAGGGAACGAGGCTGGTGTATGCAGATGCCTGGAAACGGGCATGGCAGGCTTCTAGCGTGTATAGTGTAAGGAGTATACGACTGTTGGCCTATGGCGTAGGTTGCCAAGTCAGTGTCATGACCTCGCAATAGACTGCTTTGAATCAACCAGCGTGACAAGTAATTACCATGAGAAAGGGCTTTGCCGAACAGAGAGTTCGCATGACGGTGCTGACGTTGGGCGCTATTCCCCGGCCATATGCTGTCTACCCCGTACTAGGCAGTATCAGGGCGACACTACATACGATGACAGTTTGCTTTTTTGTTTCTCCACCCTCCCGGTTCGGCGAGCTGGGGGGGGGGTGTGAGATGTAAGTGACCTTGGAAGACCACTTAGCCTCGAGAAATTTTTCTTGCTCGCACGCCGCCGGCCCCCCTCCGTAATCAGACAAGTCTGCCGGATGTATGTTGTCGACATTCCATCGTGTATAAGACTAAAAAGCAAAAAAAACATGAAAAAGGTACATGAACAGCCGGCTCACAGCGCCAAACGCAGACAAAAGCACAGCCAGAAACATATCGGACACTCCCACTAGCGCCCGCACCAGCACCCGTGCAGGAACCCCCCCCCCTCGTTCCAGCACCGATGCAGGTAATCCGCCGTAGATGGTACATGCCTAGTGGGGTTAGTATGTGAGCTTCTCAAGTACAAACAGTGCTAACAAATAATACTAATCCCGATTCCGGTGTCTAAGCTCCCCTCCTCACATGTATCTATGTACGCATTTGGTCAATCCTCCCCCCCCCTTTTTTTTTCTTTTTTTACATACATAGATACAAGTCCTGCCAGCCGCCCCAGTAAGTTACCTAGTAGCTACATGGTAACTTGCAGACATGTAAATTTCAATGGAGACTCCCGGGGGGCCTTGTCGGCAATGCACCGGCAAACGCCAAAGACAAGTGCGATAGAGCCCAGACGCTAGATTCAAGCCAGGCGGCCGCATAATTATGGCGTACTTGGTGCCAAGTGGGCGCTGAATCAGGCCGTTAAGTCGCGTTGAACAAGAAATTCGGTGGTGGCGCATAAGTAACGGGATGGCCAGCCCCGTTGCGGGGAGGGGTGGGCTTCCAAGCGACATTCCAGGCTTCGGAAAAAGCAAGTAACCAAGCGGTGCTCTTTTTGCTTTTTTCCCCCCACATGTGTATGTACATATGCCCAATGGACAGGTAGGGGGCAGCGCAGCTGGGCTAATTTCCCTTCGCTGGTTGTGGGCTAGTGGGTGTACACGGGCGTGTCACAGATAAGGTGCGTGGAGACGCTCGTCGGGGCAATCACATGACTCGGTGAAGCACGTGCGCGCCGCCTGAACTATGGTGGGGGAGCTCAATCGTGATCGTACAGCGGCCATTGTCAGTGTAGATCATGCAGATGGATGGTGCATTTTTTTTGTTGCTTCGTTTACTCACAGATCTGGAGTAGAGGAATAGCTGGAACAAGCAAGCGACGCATAGTGCTAACCACTTGATGCGAATGCGCGGAATCATGCTGCCGAGAAAAGACGTTCAATCGAGATACGCGTTAAATGATTTGAAAAAAAAAGAATATTCGTGACATGGCATACGGAATAAACATTAAATCAGGCATCAACGGCTCGTGTAACAAGATTACCAGCGTGGGGAAGCTGGTCGACTATCAAACAGCTAGTCCTAGTACTGCAATCGGCTCGATCTTGTCTGCTTAATCCACTTTGCATCCCTCTTGCTCAGCTCGACCGCACTCCTCCTCTTCTTCTTTGCATCGGCATTCCCGATATTAGCAGCTGTAATGTTCCCGCATTCGGGTGTTTTCAGCCGCTGTCCAAACTGGTCGACGGCCCAAATCAGAACGCCGTTTGACCAGCCAAACCCTTCTACGACGGTGTATTCGCCGCCGCCGCCAGCAGCATTGGTGCTTTCGTCGGAATACTTCTCGAAGATGGTGCCGTTGCCTTGGGAATTAGCGAGCTGTGGCACGTCTTGTGTTGATCCGCCAGTCACACGCCATGTGCAGTACAAAGAGTCGAGGTAGCGCTGTGCGAGTTTGAGGGCAAGGTCTTGGGTCCAGACGTAGTCCTCGGTTGTTTGATCGTCCTGCTCCTCGCTGACCTCGAGCGGGGTGTTGAGCAGGCCTTGCATGAGGATGTACTGCAGTGGCGGCCATACATTGGGTTCGTCCCATTGTTGCCCAGTCGCAAGGTTTGTTGCTGCAATGGCGCCCTTTCGTGTTTCCAGCAGTTCTTCTACACGAGCGTATACTCGCCGCATGGCTTTGGGATCTTTCTTGATGCTTTCGGGTGCTGCTCCCGTCCAGAATGGATAGAACTGTGAGACCTCGAACCAGACCTGCTTGCCCTCTGGTGCGCCTTGGACCGAAAGCGGAGTGCTGGTGTTGTCTAAGAGCGTGTAGATGTTTTGGCTATGCGAAGTAAGGTTGTAGTCGAAGTAGCTGTAGTGCTCAGGGGACCACAATAATGTTGTCATTGCCTCGCTGCGCTTTGCTGCTCGTTCAGCCCATTCTCGTGCAGCGCTGTAGTTGCCTTGGTGGCGATGGAATTCGGCAATAGTGATTTCGTTGTAGTACAGGATCGAGTTAAGCTCAACCGGAATAATCTCTATGGTGTTGAGGCTGCGGAGTGGGAAATATGTGTCGGTAACAGCATCTGATGGGTTTGCGATCCAGCGAGCCGTATAGTCCCATCCGCTCTCCGCACCTGACGCTAGATTCGAATAGAGCGTGGCCTTTTGGGTCTCGTTGAGCGGTTGTGTGGCATTGAACTGCTCCCCCTCTTCGTTGAAGTAGGTTTCATTGTTTGCAGTCACATAGTCCTCGTAGTAGGATTCCGGTCGCGGCTGAGTGTTCAACACGGCGTAGTGGTTGAGCGAGTAGTTCATACCGCCGCGTTCCAGCGTTACAGTACGGTTGGTGACCCAAAAGTTGTACTCTTGCTCAAGGATAGGCAGGGCACGTTCCAGCAGCGTATAGTTCTGCGTGTACTCTACATACACGCGAACCATCTGCGTAAGCAGCGGTGGCTGAGACCGGTTCTCATAGTATCGCCGAGCACCATTGGGCACAAAGCCAATCTTCTCGACGAGATCCAGGAAGTTTTCAATAATTTTCTCTGCAATTTGTGTGAATGATCCCTGGGTGCGGAGGAGACCTTCGATGATCCAGAATGAATCCCAGTAGTACGGCTCGCGGAAACGTCCACCTGCAACCACAAATGTGCGGTTGACGGGAATGAACGAGTTGACGCAGCCTGAGCAGTTACCAGCTCCGACATACCGACGGGTCAGGTCCGGCCAGATATCTATGACTTTACGGGTGAATTCCTCTACAACCGAGCTGTTGACGTTGTCGAGAAAATCTGGCTGAGTCTCTAGCTGGTCGTTGGGTACTTCCTCGAGCTCTGAGCCCGCCTCTCCAAAGTACTCGGACAGAAAGTCATTGAGCGCAGTGTTGTTTTGAATAGGCCGGGAAAGATTGGCAAACGCGGCGAGGACTTCGTCCAGTGGACGTATTGTCGGTCTGCGCTTGGTTAGAACAAAACGAGAGGCTGGCTTGCCGACAGCACTCACAAGTCAACAAATGTCTTTGAGTCTTCAAATGGTCTCGCCAGTTCAATCTCGCGGAGTAAATCACCATAGCAGTAGATGGGAGAGTCGCAGGGCGCAATCACACTGCCATTAATGTACAATGACTTTGCCAATGGCGCCGCAGCGACAAGAGCCGTAGCCAGCAAACGTAACGAAGCCATTGCTTTGAGGCCAATTCCACCGTAACGAAAGCAGAGAAATTCTCGCCAGGCAGCCCATCAGCACCAGCCACCTTTTATATGCCCATCCGTGCCACGCCAGGCTGCGAAGAAACCTGCCATTGCAGCACGAATCCCGGGTATGTGACCGGCTGGTACACGTACGTGGCTGGCGCATGCAGCTACGGCGTAGGCCACTACCCTTGGCAATGTCCTAACCAGTACTAAGGTCGCGATGGGACGTCAGCAAGGGCATGGCAAAAGCATCGGGCTGCATGGCGGATGTTGAGGAATCGAGAGAAACTGGGGGGTTCCCCGCAAAATGGCGTCCGCCGGCGCTGTCGGCAATATCTTAGCGTGATGTCATCGCTGTCAGCCCCGGCACCGAACCACGGAAAAAAACAAACATTGACTCATGTGCCCAGCCATCATTTTACGTGTCGCAATGCCTACGTCGGGAAATACACACGCCGTTTATCCCGATCTTGCTTTCTATCCTCCAAATCTATACCGTCCTGGGGCAGAGTGGGCTCGGACTTGGCCGAGCATCAGGAGATCAGGAGCCGATGCCGCCAGTTCTTCGACTATGCACGCCATCATGTCGGGGCTTTGTAAGAAGCAAGGATTAGTTCTCACCAACACAAAGACAGCAGCCGGATATCGGAATGTCCCTCGACTTCTCTACGCATGAGCCCTGCCCATAGTCCCCAAACTATGGCACACAATCGGAGGCTTAGAAGCACCAGCAAGGTACCTGCATTCCGCCTCATCAGACGCCTGTCAAGTCGTCCAATCCAAAAGTGAAGCCCGGCGCTTTGGTAGCTATGAAATTAGTCCTGCATCCTAGAAGAGTCCGATCTGGGAAGACTAATTTAAACCCAGTCGTTCTTTTCCTTGGCCGTACAGGCATCCGCGGAGGTGACAGTAGCACATCACTCATTCGCATCCGAGGTTGAAGAACTGATCAAAATCACCCATTCAGGCCAGCAAGCCTCGAAATGCTTCAGAATATCCATTTCATACTCGCAGATCCTGGTGTTGCTCCATGAAAGCTCTACGAAAGCAGTCTTTCCTCGTTTAGGAACGTCCTTGCGGTGTCGGGCAGATTATGAGTTTTGGTTAGAACCCACAAGAAAGCTAACAAGGCTCTCAGAAGTGACGAATTAGCCAACGAATGATTTTCCTTCCTGGCCTCGGTCCTACACCAGCAGGAGCGTCGATTCTATGCCCAAGTCCACCAGACATCAGCGACTGATATGCACACGCATATTACCCAACTCATCCCCAAACCAGCTCAATCTTGCCACCCTTAACTTTTGAGTTGAACCACTCGTAAATATCCACTTCGCTCTGAACAATCCTTGCTCCATCCAGTATTCCACTCCTGCCCAGTCTCTCCGTCGCAAACTGTAATTCCACAGTAGCCAGGTTCCTAGCAATACACGCTCGGCTTCCCGCACCAAAAGCAAACCAGTACTTTAACATATCCTCGGTGGGATTTAGCCATCTTTCCGGGCTGAACACTCGAGGCTGGGGGAATACCGCAGGGTTGAAATGGAGTTCGTAAGCTGAGCAGCCAATGATGGTGCCAGCGGGAAAGTAAGTGCCCTTGAAATTCCAGCCACCAGCTGGTACGACGTGAGGCAGGCGCGTGGGGTTTGCCATACTGAGTCGCAGGCCCTCTTTAACAACAGCATTGAGGTAGGGGAGGGCTTGAGCTTCCTGCGCATCTGCCCCCAAAGCGGCATTTTTGGCGACCTCTTCCTTCGGTCTTTGATACTTTTCAGGGTGCATAACAAGGCTGCGCATGATAGTCGCCAGGTTCATGCCCGTGGAATCCGTACCTGCGAAGATGAGGTCCTTACACTACGCCCTAACCTCCGAGTCGCTAAGTCCAATGGCCAACAATCGTCCCGGATATGTCGTTGACTTGGAGGTCGTGTTTGAAACCACGGTGCCGACGAACTTGTCGACTAGTGACATACTGTCGTCTGCCTCGCGATCGGGTACCAATTTCGTGACAGCCCACTCCAACCACGCAAAGACGAGGTTCGGCAGATAAAAGAAGCGACCAACCGCAACGAAAAGATCCACAAAGGCGCTTACACTCAGCACCGGCCCTCTTTCGCTGACACCATCATAGTTTTCCCGGAATAAGTGCGTAGACACTGCATCAACCGCCAGGCTCCGCGTTAGGTTGAGTACGTTTACAGGTCTCTTTGTCTTTGCTTCTTCGACCAACCGGTCAACCATACGATCCACACATCCCCAAATGGCCCTCTCGTTTTCGCGCAAAGCCTTTGTAGAAAACAGAGGTACCACTGCTTTCGCCCTTGGACTCCTATACTCGGTATCCGTAGTCGAAAACAGAGTCTTGTGCCCATCGATATCAAAATTGGCATAACAATTCGCCTTGGGAAAGCCCCTTTTGGACACATAGATTGCAGGTATGCCATCTGCGTCGCTCAAATCCACTTCAGTAGGCGAAACCCGGACGTATGGGCCGTATTGCTGGTGGAGCTTGTGAATCGTGCTTGCTTCATCTCCGACGTAGGCATGATAGTACAGCCAAAGGGACGTCAGTTTAGCCAAGAGAGGTCCAGGAATGTGTGAAAGAGGATGAAAGTAGACGCGGTATACCGAACGAATGAATAGAATGAGAATAGGGCCGAGAGTGAGTGTCAACATCAAGTGGCCGCCGACGACACCCACTATCAGGTCTTGCAAAGCCATCGAGGTGTCGAGCGGAAAGAACTTGTTACATTGAGAGCCTTGCGGGGGCTCGTAGCTTTATGTAGGTCGGGATTGGTTGAGTCACCTCATTCGTTAGTGGGGTGCTATCAGCTCCGATAAGCACACCCGGGCACAAGGTCACTCTGTCTTATATCCGACAAACTCTAATAATTCTAAATTTGACTTGGATTGTTCTTTGCCGCAGGTAGTTTCTCTTCTCTTCAAACGCACATTCAATTGGGCTACCTGGATCAATGATATCATTACAGCAGCCTGACAACTTGGCCTCATACGAGTCCGGCTCGTTCCTAAGGATTCGTATCATGATACCTCGAGCAGTGCTGAATTGATCTTGTATAAACCACAGCACTTTTTCATATGCCAGGAAGGAAATCTCATGCAATCCGAGGCAGATTACCTTCAGAATTCACATCATACGGGTTGCATTGTACACACCAAACAGCGATTATCACAAGCTCTATCATTTCAACAGATTTTTTTTTCGTAATTTTCTCCACCAAAGACACTTTTTGTAGTATAAGTAATCGAATAAACTCAGGACAGCAATGCTTGAATCCAAGCTCCAAGAAGGGGGACCCGTGATTCGCGCTAGCCCTGCTGCGTAGTCGTCACAGCTGGAAAAGCTGTAGTGACTATACGAGAAGAAGAGAAAAGAAGAAGTCTATTGGTCAAAGCAAAAAACACCTCTAGTCTTTTGACCAAACTCGGCTCAGGGGAACACTGATGGAAAAGATGGCAGCGCTCCCTTCACCACGCGTCCACAGAGCGGCTGCAAACCGCCACGATACCCATAGTCTAGCCGGTGAAAGCGTTGACTTCCGAGTCGAGATAGACACCTATTTTTCGTTAGTTCTGAAACGGAAAAAAAAGGGCCAGAAAAAAAGAAGAAAGAAAGAAAGAAAGAAAGAAAGAAGAGAAGGGATTGTGAAGACTTACTATCCGCGAAACTGTTATAGATGACGACGCTATCCCCGTTCTTAAGATAGCACATGCCGCCAGCCCACGTGGCAGCCAGACAGCCCGGCATAATGGAGCAGCGCGTCACGCACTCGGTCAGCGAAGGCGTCTCGCCAATGGCAATGTCGCCGCCGTAGTAGTCGTAGCTGCAGCGCGCAATGTACGCCTTGCCGTTGGTCGTGTACCGGCAGTAGTCGTCGTTGGGGCAGTCGATGGAAGAGCCGCAGCTGGAAGCGCCGGGCGTGGGTTCGGGCTTGGTAGCTGTGATGATTTGGACGCCGGCGTTTACGTCGGTACTTTTTTGTGTGTGAACGTTAGTTGATTTTCTTTTGAAAGGATGTGTTACAGAAATGTGGTGGTGTTAGAAGAGCGGGTTTCAGGATGGTAACTCACCCTGTTCGCGACACGCCGATCTCCTTGCCAAGCAGGTAGCAGAAGTTGTCTTTCTTGTTGAAGGCTGTGCAGCCGCGACGCCTGCCGCATGCATCGGCACAGTCGGCGAAGGTGTTGGCCTATATGTTGGGTTTTTGCGCGTGAGTACTTGGATCGCTCTTGTGGGAAGTTTACCGGGTTCTCCTTGTCTAGGGAGAGGAAAAAAAAACTTACCTGAGCAGTGGTGATGACAGTGCCGTTGTAGTCAGTGTTGCAGTTGAAACGGAAAATGGCGCCATTGGTCGTCTGCGAGACGCAGTGGTTCCAGCGGGGGCATGTAGGCTGCGCAGGACAGTTCTTGTTCTGGCGCGCCTGCAGTCCGGCGAGAGCGACGGTTGCGTTGACAAGGACTCCAAACTGCATGTGTGGTTAGTAACAAAGGTGATTGAACAAGGCTTCCTGAAGGTGAGAGATGGGGTTCTTGCTTACCATTTTGACAAAGTTCGAGGTAGTAGATCGTGAGGAATGGGAAAGGAACTGTGGGGTGGAGGCGCATCTTATAGAAGCCTACATCTCTCCACATCTTTGATATTGCAAGCAGTCGTATGGGTGTTGAAAGTGGGTTGGCTGACCCTGGTACCGTAGTTTGCCGCATACGATGGCGAGTAAGAGGTCTGGGAATACGAACGAATATCATTGTGACTCGCGGTGAACTTGAATTACTGTTTATTAAAAGTCTACTATGTTCTAGTCGTCTATGGTGGAATGGAAGTCCATGTACCGTTTCCAAACAATGTGGCGGGCTTCGAGTAGTCTAGAGTGCGACCGCCCCGAATATAGGCCCAACGAAAGTACTCGGTCAGTTCACTGGTCATTGGCCGCCGCCATGAGTAGGTATCCCAATCCTCATTCTGGCTATCAGAGAAGTCGCGATCACGCTCCACATCGTTGACCATGATACTGATGCCATCGACGCCGGGAGGATGTTTGCCATACGTAAATGTGGTGAACATGATGCCAATCTCAGGGTCCCAGTCCATGGAAGCACCCAGGATCTTGGGGACCACTGAGCCAATCCGTGCGTCCTCAAGCAGAGCAGCCGGAGTCTGCAAAACAGAATCGAATCCCCACCGTGCTATGCCGTTGACAAAAAGGCCAAGCAAGATACCCTGGTAGAGCAGCGATGGTCTCGTCTGGAGACTAGTTCCGGGAAGCAGCATGAGTGCCATGATGTAATGGTGAATCCGCAAGTTAACACCTGGTATCACCAGGCAGACCAGGATTCCTAGGGCGAAGAGGCCGTATAACTTCAAATAGCGGACCAGGCGCCCTTCGAGCCAAAAGTAGTACACTTGGCCCACAGTTATCATGACCAACAGCAGGATAATGCTTGCCAAAGCCAGCTTAGCGCCAGGCTGCTGCTCCAAATCATGAGCGTCTAACCGCGATATCGGAATCCATTCGAGGGTATAATTCGACAATGCTCCAATCCAGAAGCCCCCGAGCCAGAGCAAAGTTTTTTCAAAGTGGGCCGTCAACCCAGACAGTGTCCGCTTGATTGTGGTCGAGTATAGCACCACCATGACGAACATGGCCGGCAGCAGCCGCTGCGCAAACATCATGATGTGATCCGGTAACACCGTAGCACTGAGTTCAGAAGCCGTTGGCGGATCAGAGACAAAGCTCACGTGTGCGAAGATCAGCGCGAAGATGGGAAAGACAATCTTGGGTGAGCTGGAAAAGAGGGCAAGCATGGCCGTAAAGAAGAGAGAGACCGGAAGCAAGATTGAGCGGGGGTCGGGTGGTGCCTTGAAGGTTTCGTCGAAAACGACGGAGAATGATAATGGAAAGTATGAGTCGAACGCGATAGACTCGATGCCGTGGTGTTTGGTGCTAGAGAAGTTGTCGTGTTGTCCCAGTAGGTTGATTCGACCACTGCCACCCCTCTTGTCGTCGACTATTCCAGCGTGTATAGCTGAAGCGCACAGGAAACTGTCGCCGCGATAAATGCCCGTTCCGACGACCAGAGGGCGGTAGTTGACTTCTCCATTTCCAATTATGCGTGGGTTCAGAAGCTGTACGTCCTTGCATTTTGCAGGACATCGAAAGGCAAACGAATGGTTGGTAAATGGGCGACAATTGATCCCGTTGATTCCGCATTCGTTCTTTCGTTTCCAGAGGGTATCGTCGCAGCTTAGGTTGACTACGTCTTTGCCATTGCCGTCGCGGAGTGGCAGTTGGACAGTCAGAAACCAGCCAAAGATGACGAGCCACGAAACCAGTAAGAGCACAAGTGAGACGGGCCTGTTGAGTCGATGGTTTTCCAGCCAATCGGATGGACGTCTTTGTATGGATGCGAAGAACGGCTTGATGGATTGGAGTTTGGGATGCTGCGGCCCGCGCAGAAAGTTGAGGAAGCGTTGTTGACAGGCGCAAAAACAAGAGGATGCTGGGAACCGAGTGTCTTCATATTCCAGCTCTTCCCTCAATAATCGCGCTTCTTCATCATTGGCCATGCGTTCCATATCGGTATTCGCCTCGTCGTGGTCGTGGTAGTCGCCGGCACCGCCGTAGAGAGAAGACTTCTTCATCTTTGCTCGCTCTGGAAGACTAGAAATTATTAAGAATTGTAGTTGTGTAAGAGGACGAGCACTTGGTCGTTGTTGATTTATTCTTCTGGACCGGAACAGCGGGAAGCCCAAGCTGAGACAATAAGTGGGTCAGCCATCGACAGATCTCTGGCCCCTAGCGCTCTATCAATAGCAGACACGCGTTCCTTGACGTGCCAATCTTTTCCTGCATTCTCAGTATTGGCAGTGCCTGATACGTCTTACGCCGTGCCCTGTATCATGCACCCTCCGTTACGATTGCATTCGGAGCAGCGGCGTCGAATGGCTTCCTTGGAGCGCGCGTCCACTGCTTGGCGCAGACGACCGTCTCCTCGCCAAGCCCGTCGCATCGCGCATAGTTCTGGCCTCTGCAATCTGGGATAATATACAGAAGCCACGCGCGCATATACCAGACCACTCGCCTAACACCCGAATACGACATGGCTGTAGGAACTCGCCAAAGTTAATTCAGACAGGTCGTCTGCACGGACCAGGTTCCTGACAGTTGCGTCGCTGTCAGGCTGAATACGACTCAAGACATCACCAACGCGTCACCCCATCCTGGAACCGCCCCAGTTACCCCTACAACAGCCCAATTGCTGCAGAAAATGGAGGTCATCAAAGCATACCTGCCCCAGGCCGAAGGCATACTTCCGAAATGGCTGCTCTTCGTATGTCTCCCGCGCTCTCTCCTTGATGGCAACGCGCTCAGCAGGCTGCCACTTTGTCGCACGCTTCGTTCGCACCAGAAACCCACCGAGGAGGAGATGCAGTCAAAGCACCCCAGCGCAGACTAACACATGGTTCCCAGGTCTCGGTGGTATCCGTAGGGAACAGCATCCAAGCTTACAGCACACTGGCCTTTACTTCGCGCGTCTACAACCCTACGCCCATTGACCCACCCCCGACAACGCCAAAACACGTCACTGCCTTGTCCTCACGCACATTTGGAACCTGGACTTTCCTTGCGTGCGTCATTAGGTTCTACGCGGCCTACAACATCGACAACTCAGCCATGTATCAGCTGGCCATGTGGAGTTATGCTGTGGCCTGGGCCCATTTCATGAGCGAGTGGTGGATATTCGGCACGGCTAGGATGGGCAAGGCGCTGCTCGGGCCAGTCGTTGTCGCAAACATGAGTTTGCTATGGATGTGGATGCAGTGGGATTACTATGTCAAGGCTTAGGGGAGCGTGGCGTGACGCAAGCAATGGGGGGAGGGACTGGTATTGGTATCATGATACTAGTAGATAGCCAAGCGCTTGCGTACATTTTGTGACATGTCGTGAGTCGGACGTGCCGTCGCATCGGCGGGGTGACAAAGGCACACTACGACAATGAGGCGGAGCGAGGCCCTCGATCCATCACGTACAAGCTGTAACCACACTGGACTTTTTGACCTGCCTCGGCGGCTTATTTGACCACTCGAGGACTTTCATTGATCGTAGCTGAAGAAACATACATGGCCCATTGGACTCCGAATCCTCAACCCTGATGCCGAGTTTTGACGACCATATCGAAAACCATCACGCTCCGCCTCAGCCATATTTCTTTCCTTTGCTGATCATGAACCGTTACACCATCCCTTTTCTAATGCATCTAGAACTTGCTGAACTGCTTAGCAGCCTTTCCCTTTCGGGGGAGGACACGGAGGACGTTGAAGCGGACGGTCTTGGAGAGGGGCCTGCACTGGCCAACGACGACCTGGTCACCGGGCTCGACACGGAAAGCGGGCGAGACGTGAGCGGCGAGGTTCTTGTGGCGCTTCTCGTAACGGGAGTACTTGGGGATGAAGTGGAGGTATTCACGGCGGATAATCAAGGTGCCTGCACTCTTGTTAGTCTCAGATGCTCCTCCCAGACCTCCCGTGTGTGCGCGCACGCCTTGGCAAGCTTTTTTGCGCATCTGCGGAGGCACGGGGAATTGGACGTACGGTGCATCTTGGTGGACATGACGGTGCCGGTGAGGATACGGCCACGGATGGAGACCATGCCGGTGAAGGGGCACTTCTTGTCGATGTAGTTACCCTCGATGGCGTTCTTGGGCGTGCGGAAGCCCAGACCAACGTCCTTGTACCATCTCCTGGAGCGGGTGTTCTTGCGCGGTCCGCCGACCTTGTGGTTAAGGAAGATGTGAGGCTATTCGCATCGCATTAGTATCGAGCATGCTGTGCGAAATATCGCCGGCTGGACGTCTAGTACCTGCTTCTGGAAAGCGCGCTCCGACTGGACACTGGTTTCGCAGTCAGCAATTGTCGACGATGCTCGTGGTATCGCAGCACGTACGTAAGTTCGGTGGCCATGGTTGCGGATCCGGGGTGGTTTGTCGTGCTTTCGTTGTCGTCGCTCGCTCTCACAATTTCCACACTGCATTCGCTTAGCAAGTGTGGACTACAGGTTTTTCCGCCCCGACGCCTAGCGCCGCGCTAGCCCGCCCACCAGCCTCGGCAGAGCCTAGAGGGGGGGGAATCTCTGGGACAAACCGCCATGAGACATTATCGCTAGGTGCACTCTGTTACTTTTCCAAGTACCTCTCCTTGCACCGACTCGAGGCCACCATGGCAGCCATCACCGACATGTTTGGCGTGCACATTGATGCCGAGAATTCCTTTGTACAGGCTGCCGTCTACGGATTCCTGTTCGTCGGCATTGCATCCTTTGCAGCACCAGTCTTCAGCGCCGTCCGACTGCTTCTCAGCTTGTTCGTGCTGCCGGGCAAGTCGGTATGTGGAACCCCCACGCCTCAATCTCGTCAAGAGAAGCTCGATTGGCCTGGAGAAGAAATAATTCTGACTCTCCAAACCAGCTCAGCACCTTTGGACCTCGCGGCACCTGGGCGCTCATAACGGGAGCGTCGGACGGCATTGGCAAGGAATTTGCCCTGTCGCTCGCTGCCAAAGGCTACAACGTCATCCTCGTCTCGCGCACACAGTCGAAGCTCGATTCGCTCTCGGCCGACATCACGTCGAAATACGGCCCCAAGATCGCCGTCAAGACGCTGGCCATGGACTTTGCTCAGAACAAAGATGCAGACTACAACAACATGAGGAAGCTAATTGACGGCCTCGACATCAGCATCCTGGTCAATAACGTCGGCCTGAGCCATAGCATTCCCGTGCCGTTTATCGAGACTTCCAAGCAGGAAATGACCGACATCATCATGATCAACTGCATGGCTACACTGCGCGTGACGCAGCTCGTTACCCCCGGCATGGTATCGCGGAACCGCGGCCTCGTGCTGACCATGGCCTCGTTCGGCGGCTTCTTCCCCACGCCCCTTCTGGCCACGTACTCGGGCAGCAAGGCCTTCCTCCAGCAATGGTCTACAGCGCTCGCCTCGGAGCTCGAGCCCCACGGCGTGCACGTGCAATGCGTGCAGTCGCATCTCGTCACCACAGCCATGTCCAAGATCCGCAAGACGTCGGCCCTCGTCCCCAACCCAAAGCAATTCGTAAACGCCACGCTGAGCAAGATTGGCAGAAGCGGCGGCGCACAGGGCGTCGCCTTTACAAGCACACCATACTGGAGCCACGGCATCATGCACTGGTTCCTCTCGCGCTTTCTGGGCGAGCGCTCGCATCCCGTGGTCAAGGTCAATCGGGGCATGCATGAGAATATCCGGAGGCGTGCGCTCAGAAAGGCTGAGCGCGAGGCAAAGAAGCAGTAAGGCAAGCGCATACATATTCAAATGTATGGTCCTCTTTGCGCTTTAAAGTAAGGTCTACAGACTCTTCCCTGCTTCTGACTATATGCCCATTTCTTCCCAGCTCGAGTATTGTACTCACACCAACGTGTTTGTTCACTTGAATACATGTTTCTTGTTTTAGAACCATTCTACATGACCTTTTAACTAGACTGAATACCAGCAAATAATGTCCTCTCCACGCATCACGTGATATCACTGAGATATTGGTCCTTTGCAAACACAATAACCCAACACAATCTAGTCCCGTGTTTAGCCTGTGACATTTCGATAATTCTTCATTGCTACCAAAACGCCCGTCCACACGCCGAGCTTATACTATGAGGATATAATTACATAGATTTGATTTCGTAGGTGATTTGCACCGCCCTTGGCCAGCCATCATGAAAGCATTATGAGACAAAAAGCAATACAGCATCGTCATCTGTTCTCTGAAAAGGAGAGGAGAGGAGAGGGGGTGGGGGATTAGGCGGAAGGATGAATAGATGGCAAGGCTAGCGCACTTCTGGCGGGGAGTATTAAGGCCCCTCGAAGTCAAGACTCAAAGGCGCATCTACGACTTGCCGTAAGCCTGGTTCACCTCCTTCTCGTAGTGCTGCAAGATACCCTTGCGGTTAAGCTTCTGGGCAGCAGTGGTGAGGCCCTGGGATACTGTTAGCATATGGGGTTTTCCCGAGTTGATTGTGTTGATGACTACTTACGTTCTGCGGTGTCCACTCCTCGTCAGCCAGAACAACACCCTCAATCATCTCAAAGCCAGCGAGTCCACCCTTCTGGCCAGCCTCTTGCAGCTGCTTGAGCACAGCAGAGTTGATCTTCTTGTCATGGACAAGTTCCTCGAGGTGCTCTCCGCTGACACCAACCTGGGCAGCAATCTTCTTAAGCTGCGGCTCAGTAGGGACAATAATGGCAATGGGCTTTTGGCGGTCCTCGGCAGCGTACACGCAAATGTTTGCGACAATGGGCGCAGAGCGGTACACTGACTCGAGCTTCTCCAGGGCAATGTACTCTCCAGCCAGTGTCTTGACAAGGTTCTTCTTGCGGTCGATGATGCGGATCTCTCCGTTGGCGTTGAACTCGCCAATGTCACCAGTCTTGAACCAGCCGTCTTCGGTAAAGTTCTCCTTGGTCTCTTCGGGCATGTCCAGGTAGCCGTCTGTGACACCGCCACCGCGGATCCAGATTTCACCCTGAGGAGGCTTGTTGGTGGCAAAGTATCCTGCATCGGCGAAATCCACGAGCTTCATCTCGATGGATCCGGGCATCTCACCAAGAGCATGCTCGTTCCAGGCCAGGGGATCCATGAGCGCACCCATGGCGCATGTCTCTGTGAGACCGTAACCGCTGATCATGGGCGTGATGGCGATGGAGATGAAACGCTGCGTCTCCTTCGCAATGGGTCCACCACCGTTCATGCAGATTCGGAGCCTGCCGCCCGTAGCCTCCTTGACCTTATTGAAGACAATTGCGTCCAGGATGCCGCTGCCCGGCAGGCCAGTGCCGAGGAGGAAACTCTTGGCAGCAAATGCGCCCCAGAACATCTTGCTCTTGAGAGCGCCTCCCGCCTCGACCTTGTTGATGATGCCCTTCTTGATGGTTTCCCATACCTGGGGGACACCAACCATGACCGTGGGCTTCAGCTCACGGATATCGCCCGCGCAGTTGCGCACCGATGTGTCTGAGAGGGTGCGGATGGTTCCGTAACCAAGGGTGCCTCCCCAGTAAAGCACGGCATTTTCGAAGACGAACTCGAGGATGTGGGCGGCGGGAAGATAGGCAATGAGGACGTCACCGGGTCCAAGGTACTTTCCGACTATGATGTTAACACCAGCAACTAAGAACACGGTTAGCACGGTTCACGCTGCGACTTGCAGATCTGAGGGGCACGTACTAGCAGCCACCACGTTGCGGTGCTTGATCATGACGCCCTTGGGGGTGCCAGTCGATCCAGACGTGTACATGATGCAGGCCAGATCGTCGGCCTGGGGTGGGATGGGCTCTGCTGGGTTCTCCTCGCCCAGCTTGACCAGGTCGTCGAAGCTGATGACCTTGAGGTGGGGATGCGCCTGGGTGAGGGCATCAATGTCCTTTTGCTTGGGGTCGTTCTTTGTGCAGTATATGACCACCTTGACGTCCTTGGCCTCCTTCATGGGGTTGATGAGCTTGGGGAGCAGCTCCGGGTCTGTGAACATGACCTTTGCATTGGTCTGCAGCATCGAGTGCTTGAGGCCCTCCTCTCCGAGTGTGTCGTAGGCCGTGACGATGGCCATGGACTGCGAAATGGCGCCTGGCAAAGTCGTTAGCGTAGTGCAGGCGCAGGTGTGTCGCGCGCGTCCTTACCATGGGCCGAGGCGAGCCATTGCATGCTGGTGGCGGCAAACAGGTGCATGCGGTCCTGTGGCTCGAAGCCCAGCGACTTGAGCCCTGCGCCGACGGCAAGGGCCATCTTCTCAAACTCAACAAAGCTCGTGTACTTGTACGGGCTGAGCTCAAAGTACTGCCACTTCTTGTCGACCTCCTGCTCCTTGCCGTCGACCATCTTCTTGATCTTCTTGGTCTCCTCGTGCACGTTGACAATGCGGCGCGCGCCGACGGCCTTTGCATTGCCAAACTTGGCGGCCGAGTGGCGCAGGATGTCATACAGGGTCGTGACATCGTCGTGGGGCTTCATGATGAGGCCGTCCTTGGCCGCGTTGTTGCGGCGCGGCACCGTCTCGCCATCGGCCTTGTCGACACTGGGGACCTCGCACGTGTAGGGGCCGGACCGGTACGACTTTGCCTGGGGCATGAGCTTCTTGAGGTCTTGCGGCATCTTGGCGGCTCGTGAGGGGGGGCTGCACAGGGCAAGCGGGAGGGAGCGGCAGAGGCTATCGAGATAGAGGGCAGGGGGCAGCGCAGACAGGGCCAGCAGCAGCAGCAGCAGCGCAGAGGGGAGGCGTCGCCGGAGGGGAATGGCGGATGGGCTGATGAAGATATATGGCGGGCGGCGAAGGGGAGCTGGCGAGCTTATGCGCTTGTCGTGCTCAAGTTAAGCTGTCGCTAAGGGCCGAGTAAGGCAACGAGCTGGGGGCGCGGCCGAGCTTCTTGGACAATGACCTCACCAGCCACAGACAGGCGCGCACAAGCTCTGGGCATCTGCCGCCCCCTCGCCTGGCTTCTCCTGGTCCCAGTCCCCTACATGTCAGCAACGCACAACCACAACGCTGCTACACCCACACCTGTTGTCCCGAGCCTTGCGAGCGCACACGTCGCACACGTCGCACCCGCCACCTGGCCTCTCTCGACTCTCGGCCTGCGACCCGCTGCGGCCAGCCTGCCACTCTCCGCCGCCAGCTGGGCTGAGCCGGCCGGCCAAGCGCCCTCCCCAAGACACGCCCTCGTCGTTGCGGCGCTTCATACACGCGGCCTGCGTCTGACGGTCCAGGCACAGGCGTAATCCGGGCCAGCCCCATCACCATGATGCAGCGTCTTAGTGGAACGCTAGGCTCACTGCCTATCGCAGACCCTGAAGAAGGTGTGTAGCCAGTACCTGACGCCGCCCCCCTCGAATCACGCCCGCCTGCTGGCCCGAGGCTCGACGTATTGCTCGCTCCGTGCCCATTCGCCCTCCGGCTCGGTCCCGCAAAACCTGTCCAAGCAAGCATTGCCCACGCCCTGTGCTGCATCACGCTCATCAAGTCATGCAGACGCCTTTGTGGTCTTTTCCCAGCAGCTGCCCTCGCAGTCGCTTGGCTTCTTCGACTCGCCCGCGCCCACGCTCCAATTCCATGTTGCCGGCCGCCATCTTGTCATCCACCATTCCAAGGGCCTGCTGACCTCGGATCGCAAGGCCGGAACAACAGGCGCAGGTGAGTGGAACTTGCCGTGGTCCGTACACGGGTCAGGGTCGTGCTTTGCCCCAGACGTTCGTCATATTGATGCCAGTCTTGGCTTTCCTGAGCCACAGACATGCGCTTGGAACACTCTCGACCAAGACGTGCATTTATCCATTCCACAGCGTGCCTCTCATCTCCGTCCTGGATGGGTTTGCTGTTTTTGTAAATAGCTCAGCTCCTAACACGCATGCTTCAGCAATCTGGAAAGTCACGCCTCTCTTCGCCAACTGGATCGCCTCGCCAACCAACTTCCTTTTCACCACTTCTTTACTGTCGTCCTCCTCGACTGTGCTCGAGCTCGGCGCTGGCGTCTCCGGCATCGTCGCCCTGTCCCTCGGTCCAAGTGTGGGCCACTATATAGCCACCGACCAAGCCTACGTGTTGAAACTTCTGCGCCAGAACATTGCCGAGAATCTCGAAACCGTCTTCCCCCCGCAGCGCAAGGCCAAAAACGCCAAGGGCGGCGGCGGTAAAAGAGGTGGAAATGCCAGCGATGCAGCCGGCTCCGGAGACCGCATCACAACTCTGGAGCAAGATTGGGAGACGGATTCGGTAGCACAGCTCCCTCCCGTCGACCTCATTGTATCCTGCGATTGTGTCTACAACGAAGCGCTCATTGAGCCATTGAATTCCACTTGTGCTGCCATATGCAAACTGCGAGACGGTGAAGAAAAACCCACCCTGTGCCTCATAGCACAGCAACTGCGCAGTCCAGATGTGTTCGAGACGTGGCTGAAAAGCTTCCACGACAAGTTTTGGGTGTGGCAGCTTCCCGATGCCATGTTGGGCGAGGGCCTGCGAGAGGGAAGCGGCTTTGTCGTGCACCTGGGCATAGTAAGATGAACCTAGACGTAAGCATGAGAGCAGTCAGCGCTGTGTTGAGAATAAGCATCTGCACAATATTCAACGCAAGACGTGATGGCGTGACTATGGAGCGACAGCATTGTTGAGAATACAGTCGGCAGAGACCCCCATGTTACGATGAAATGATGATAGTCCTGAAGTGTCAGGCGGGGAGGAAAGAAGGCGTAAAGAAAATCCATAGACCAAGAATAACCCAAAAAAGGGGGGAGACGTTGAAAGATCAAGCGCATTTCCTTCTTGTCCAGACGTACATGCCATGTACATACATGCACATGCATATGCTGCCAATGACTTTGGTTGCACTACCTACCGTCGCCGATAGCGGACAAACCAACAAGGCGCATCAATGACATTTTTTTTCCAAGCACGCAGCAACAGCCGTCTGCCCTCAACTCCCGGGTGGTCGGTCGCGCAGAGTACCGCTCTCATCGGCATCCAGCGACAAAGTATGCAGGTGGACATGGCAGTGTGGGATGGGCCATGGTGTGCAAGGCCTCTATCATCGGAGTGGACCGCGCGCCAAGCCAGCTGCATCAGGCTCGCAGCCAATCACCGCCTGCCTGGCTATCAGTACAGGCGAATGCTTTAGCAACACACGCGGGTGTCGCCTCGCGTGGCCGTCGCAATTGAGCGGGAAATGGGGTGGGTAAAAAAAAGGCCTGGCCTAGGCGACCCGTGGGCCGTGGAGAAGGGAACTCTGCTCCCACTGCCCGCTGGCCGCCGCTCGACGACTATCGTCGGCCAGCTCCACGTGTGGTGGCTGGCTTATGCGCTTCCTTGTGGCCAAGGTCCTGGGTCGGTTGGTCCGATTGCAATTGTGTATCGCGGGGCGGGCGGGCGCGATATAGTACGCTGTTTTTTTGTATGGCTCCACATGTTTGGTATATAGATGGGCTCATGGAACTCTTGTTTGGAATGCTGAAGAGCCATCCATCCGATTCAAAGAGCGAGCTCGACGAAAGCCTTTTTTTTTCCTTTTTTTCTGGTCTTCCTCCACATCATCTCTTTCTTTCTTTTTTCTCCGCTTGGCTCAGGCCAAACCAACCTCAGATTTGCAGTGTCGAAAACGCCAGAGTCGGAATATACACACACGTTTTGCGACACTTCTGACAGGCCCTGTTGGAGTCTGGGTCCACGCACCAATTGCGATTGGCTGCGTACCTAGAGGCGTCTCGATCCGCCACTAGTCTTATCAGGCGTTCGAGAGATCGTCGTTTGAAGTGTGACGGCTAGATTTTTCGACTTATAAAAACAGCTGGGCGTATACGAGGGCGATTCTCGCGTTCCAGCGTTTACTCGCCAAACGGGGTTTCGTTCAAGTCTGAGAAGAGACACCATGGCCGACATGATTGGACCCGACCACACGCCTCGGCGCAGCTTGAGCGAAAAGGCGAGACGCATGACAAAGGCCTTTACTACGAGGTAGAAGCGCGCAATTTTGCACTCAAAGACTGTTGTCAGTATCTAACAAGTGCATACAGGGAGGGTCTCATTGGTACTTACGACTATGCCTTTCTGTTCCGCCCCAACCTCCCTTTTATGAAGCGAGAACGCCGAGCAGCGCCCTTTTTTGGCCTCAATGACCGCGTACCCGTGCTTCTGGCTCTGCTTCTGGGATTCCAGCATTCGCTGGCCATGCTGGCAGGCGTCATTACACCGCCCATTATTCTATCCAACGCGGCGAATCTGAGCGGCGACGAGCAGCGCTATCTGGTGTCGACATCGCTCATCATCTGCGGCATCTTGTCTTCGGTGCAGATTACGCGCTTCCACATCTGGAAGACTCCGTACTACATCGGCACGGGATTGATCTCGGTGGTGGGAACCTCGTTTGCTACCATTCCCGTGGCAACAGGCGCGCTCAGCCAGATGTACGACACGGGATTCTGTCCTTCGGCCCCCGATGGTACCAGGCTGCCATGTCCGGACGGCTACGGCACCATCCTGGGCACGTGTGCGCTGTGTGCGCTGCTCGAAATTGGCATGTCGTTTACCAGTCCACGCATCTTGAAAAAGGTGTTCCCGCCGCTGGTCACGGGCCCGACGGTGCTGCTCATTGGCGTCAAGCTCGTAACGACTGGATTGCAGAACTGGGCTGGAGGCTCCGGTGATTGCAAATCTCGCCCTGAATCAGGTCTCTTCCAGCTGTGTCCCAACATCAACGCGCCACATGCGCTGCCTTGGGGAAGTGCCGAGTTCATCGGACTTGGCTTCAGCGTCTTCATCACAATCATCCTCTGTGAACGGTTCGGCGCGCCTATTATGAAGTCCACGGCCGTCGTCATTGGCCTCCTCGTGGGCTGCATCATCGCAGGCGCCACTGGCTATTTCGATCGAAGCTCCATCGACTCGGCTCCTGTCGTATCTTTTATCTGGGTCAGAACCTTCAAGTTAGCCATCTACCCACCTATCATCCTGCCGCTGCTCGCAGTGTACATGGTATGTGCCATGGAAGCCATTGGCGACATCACCGCCACGTGCGACGTGTCACGTGTGGAAGTCGACGGCCCGCTCTTTGACTCGCGGATCCAAGGCGGCGTGCTCGCAGACGGCATTGCCGGAGCGATAGCCGCCCTCTGCACCATCACGCCCATGTCGACGTTTGCGCAGAACTGCGGTGTTGTGGCACTAACGCGCTGCGCAAACCGCAAAGCAGGCTACGCGTGCTGCTTCTGGCTCATTGTAATGGGCGTCTTTGCCAAGTTCGCGGCGGCGCTTGTCGCCATTCCCTCGGCAGTCTTGGGCGGCATGACGACCTTCCTGTTCAGCTCCGTGACGGTGTCGGGAATCCGCATCGTAAGCACCATGCCGTTTACGCGGCGCAACCGCTTTATCCTCGCGGCGGGCTTCACGCTCGGGTTCGGCGCAACCATGGTGCCCGACTGGTTCTCGTACGTGTTTACCTACAAGGGTCCTAATACCGCGCTGCTGGGCTTCTACAATGCGATTGTGCTGATCATGGAGACTGGGTTTGCCCTGGTCGCCCTCGTTACCGTCATCTTGAACTTGGTGCTGCCCGAAGAGATTGACGACGAGACCCAAGAGATTACGGCCAACGAGGTCGAGCACGCGAGGGATGACGAGGAGTGGGCCAAGGTTCAGAAGGGGGCTACCGAAGGGGGTGTTGATGTCGAGGGAAGGGCGAGCTCGGATATTGTGCCTAGTAAGGCTGCATAACGGACATGTTGTGTAACATGTCTGAATCTTTCTCTTGCTTTCTAGAAAAAAAAGCACACAAAAGGCGGAAAGCCATGTAGGCGTCGGGGTTTCATAGCGAGTGCTTTTATGGGCATCTTTTTTGGCTGCAAGTCGTTTCGTCCATGGATTTCTTGATACCTCCTTTTGCTTGTGTAGTCGATATATACCGCAACTACTTTTCCCTGTAGACCATCGTGTTTTACCTAGGTGTAAGTGTACAATATATGCCATGCGCTGACAATGATATTGCGTGCCGACAAGTGGAGCCGCGGTACACCACAACGACATACTGTATTGGTACAGGTGCGGTACCTGTGAATTCATTACAAAATAGTTACCCCCACCCAAAAAAAGCCTCGGCACCAGCATAGGCAGTAGGAGTAAGACGAGCAGGGGTGCTGAAAAAGCGACGGGCTGCAATTCGTCGGTGTCTATAGCAGGATTCGCCACACGTCTATGATTGGCGCATGGATAGCGCACACACAGACATTCGCCGTTAGTTGCCTGTTGCAGTCTGTTTCTCCAGCCTTGCCGTGTGACTGCGCTTGCTTCCATTGCAATGGCGTGGTTGAGATGAAACTTGCGAATGCCCGGCCATCACGTGACGTATACTCAACGGCAATAGAGTTCACAGCCGAGGGATAAGGTCTGCAAAGCTGATTCGCACAAGATGACGCCGTTGGCCAGATATATGGCGTATCGCGGAGTTATCAATGCTGTTGGGACATAAGTGACCCGGGATCATGGAGTATGTCATAACCCACATGTGTGAGAGTGTGTTTGATGTGTGGGTGGGATACGTATATACGGCGGGCGGGGCCAGGTGTTGAGAAGCCGCGTGTTCCCGATGCAGCAGAGCTTGCGACAAGCGGGCTGGGACAGCGAACAACAGCGGACAGCGCACTAGCCGTGGCTAAGTGGTGCTGGGTTATGGCGGCAAAGCAACGAGGAAAGAAAGGTGGTGTTTGCGTTTGCAATTTTTCAGGCCGCTGTCGCAATTCTGGGCCGTTGGGGCAACGTGAATGAGGGGCGTGGTTGCATCGGAGTCATGGTCGGGACCCGCTGTATGTTTCTTGGATCAACGATGCGCGCAGGCCGTGCGCCGTGGTGGGGAAGAAGCGTCTTGGGTTTTTGTCGCCCATTGCCACTGAGTGCGAAAGCTTGCTTGCTCGCGCAGTCGGTCGGTCATCAGTCCATCACGCCCGCGCTGTCCAGAAAATCGCCATGGCATACGTAAGGCTGCAGAGTTGGGCCGGCAGAGCGGATGCAGGCTGCACTGCGATATCAACAAAAAGCGCCCTGGAGGAGCGGCTTACGATGCGAACCACACCAAGGCCAAGCACGGGGCTGGAGTAGGGGAAAATAGCGGACAGCTAGCAGGCCAGCAGCGACGGGACTTGTCGAGGTGGCATCACCACGGCGTGAGCCTTCTATGCCCAGTGAGGCAATTCGCTCGCGGCGACAGGCTGCCGATTGCTCTGATTCAGACCGCTTTTCCGAGGATCTTTTGCGGCCGAGTTTTTTCTTCTTTGGTGTGGGCGTCTAGGTGTAGTAGCCACAGCCACAGCGGAGACGGTGCCGGGGGCGTTGCAGTCGAGATGCACGGCGAGGGGCCAGTCTGGGGAAAGGCGGCGAGGGCAATGGCAGGCAGGCACAAATGCAGACAGGCAGGCACAGGCAGGCCGAGGGAATTGCACCGCCACGCAGCCAACAGCAAGGGGACTGGGAACAAGGCAAAAAAAGAAAAAAAGGGCCAGTCCCGGAAATTTCTCGCCCCCGTCGCAGCCAGCGCCGTCCGCCAGCCTGTGCGGGGACCCTGAGGCCCGCGCTAGGCCCAGTCGGGCCTGGGCTACGGGCTCATGGGCGGCGTCTCGAGCGTCCATGCAAGGTCCCAGTCGTGGCCGTCTTCGCTTACCCGCCTGCCCGCAGAGTGTTGGGATGCACCAAAACTCGCCCGCCACGCTCGAATATAAACGCCCCGTCGCGCCCTCGCCCGCCTGCCCTCTCCTCCCCCATCCCACCCTCTGCCCCCGTCGTTGACTCGATCGTGGTGGTGCCTTCCATCTTTGCTGAGCACTTTTGTTGCTTACACACCCCCCCGGAGGCCGACCGGTCCTCGTTCCCTTTTTTTTTCCGAGCCCCGAGCTGCTAAGGCGCCGCCCACCTCGCCCGTCTCAATTGCCTGCCGTCCTTCGCTTTCCCTACCCCCCTCAGCGCTGCAACCCGCACACGCAATGCCTTCGCACCAGCCCACCGCTGGCATGATGGCCGTCGACCCCGACTACACCAAGCAGCCTTCTCCAATGGCGAGCACCTCGGAGCCCAACCGCAATCCGAAATACGACCCCAAGAAGCCACACATTACCGACCTGCCCATTACAAAGGCCAACTGGTACAAGCACGTCAACTGGCTCAATGTAAGTGCTGCCACGCGTCGGCCCCACGCGGCACCCGGCTAACACGGCACACAGGTCACCTTTATCATTGGCATCCCCCTCGCCGGCTGCGTCGCTGCCTTCTGGACGCCGCTCAAGTGGCAGACTGCCGCCTGGGCCGTCCTCTACTACTTCTGGACGGGCCTCGGCATCACGGCCGGCTACCACCGTCTCTGGGCACACAAGTCGTACAACGCCAGCCTTCCTCTGAGCATCTTCCTTGCTCTTGTTGGCGGCGGTGCCGTCGAGGGCTCCATCCGCTGGTGGAGCCGTGATCACCGCGCCCACCACCGCTACACCGACACCAACAAGGACCCCTACAGCGTCCGCAAGGGACTTCTCTACAGCCACCTGGGCTGGATGGTCATGAAGCAGAACCCCAAGCGCATTGGCCGCACCGACATCACGGACCTGAACGAGGACCCCGTTGTCGTCTGGCAGCACAAGCACTACATCAAGGTTGTCATCTTCATGGGCCTCATCTTCCCCTCTGCCGTCGCTGGTCTTCTGTGGAACGATTGGAAGGGTGGCTTCATCTACGCCGGTATCCTCCGCATCTTCTTTGTCCAGCAGGCCACCTTCTGCGTCAACTCGCTCGCCCACTGGCTCGGCGAGCAGCCCTTTGACGACCGCAACAGCCCCAGGGACCACGTCATCACTGCGCTTGTCACTCTCGGTGAGGGCTACCACAACTTCCACCACGAGTTCCCCTCGGACTACCGCAACGCCATCGAGTGGCACCAGTACGACCCCACCAAGTGGTCCATCTGGCTGTGGAGCAAGCTCGGCCTCGCCTCCAACCTCAAGCAGTTCCGTGCCAACGAGATCGAAAAGGGCCGTGTCCAGCAGCTCCAGAAGAAGATTGACCAGAAGCGCGCCAAGCTCGACTGGGGCATTCCTCTTGAGCAGCTTCCTGTCATTGAGTGGGACGACTACGTTGAGCAGGCCAAGAACGGCCGTGGTCTGATCGCTGTCGCTGGTGTTGTCCATGATGTTACCGACTTTATCAACGAGCACCCCGGAGGCAAGACTCTGATCAAGAGCGGCATTGGCAAGGACGCTACTGCCATGTTCAACGGCGGTGTCTACTTCCACTCCAACGCTGCCCACAACCTGCTCTCCACCATGAGGGTGGGTGTCATCCGTGGTGGATGCGAGGTCGAGATCTGGAAGCGTGCCCAGAAGGAGAACAAGGAAGTCAACATCATGAAGGACGACCAGGGCAACCCAATCATCCGCGCTGGCAACCAAGTCACCAAGGTTGCCCAGCCTATGCTCAGCGCCAGCGCGGCATAGATTGTTATCTCCTTTGTATCAGCGAGGCTCGGCGTTTGGGGCATGTCTTTTGACTTGGAGGTGTCATAGCATTTTCCTTTCATAGCTTTCGCTAGTGAGCATCGAGGATACGATGCTCTAGTACCATTAGACAATTTGTTTTTAGCCTTTGAAGAGCAGCAAGCTTAGAAAAGTGAGCTTTTACGGTCCAGGCCGAGAATGATATCCATGAACTTCAAGTCTATGTATTATGCACAGTGTGATGTTGATTTCGTTTGCCCCTGCTCGTCGTGTAGTACAGGGTACTGACACTTGGATCAACAATGGCGACTGCCTCCAATCATATGATCCGTGCGCTATCTAGTTCACCAGCTCGTTTACATTTCGCCTCCAGTCCTGTCATCCTATCATCAGGCTTAGCCACCTTTCCTATCTGCTTCCCGTCACACGACCGTTAGCCCGTTGCGATGCACCAAGAACCCGGATACGGTCCGCCGACTAAGCGCCGCAAACTTAGTGTCGGTCTACCCAAAGAGGAAGCGTTGCAGACGCAGCATCAGACAAGTCCATGCAAAGGTCTTGCCAGGCCCATTAGCCCACCGTCGTTGCGCCGCAAAAGCCCTGATACAGCTCTGTCGTTTATGCCAACCTGGGACTTTGATGGTGTGCCAGAACAGCCTTCTGTGTCGCAAGAAGGAGCGTCTTCTACTGTGGCAAGCGCCAAGGCAGTCAAAGAGAAGAACCATGTGGCAGAGCCGCGACTTGTATCGTCGCCAGTTCACCTTACGCGGATCGCAGGATTACCCCAAGAGCAGAATGTTGATGCTATCAGTCTGGGCGATTTACTGCGCGATCCTCTCATCAGGGAGTGCTGGAATTTCAATTACCTGTTCGACCTCGACTTTGTCATGTAAGTGTCTCACTGCAGTGGATATTGGAACAAGTTGAAGTGGGAGGTGTTTAGCGCTGACGCAGATGCAGGCAGCATTTCGATGAGGACGTGAAGGATTTGGTTAGAGTCAAGATTGTGCATGGCTTTTGGAAGAGGGAGGATGAGAATCGGATAGCGTTGCTGGTAAGTGGAAGGTCTTATTTTATTCCTATCATGTACTAACGCAACGGATTCACAACACGAGTCTGTCTTTTATACTTGAATGCTGATGCACGACCAGGAAGCAGCAGAGCGGTACCCCAACATTGAGCTCTTGAGTGCATACATCCCCGATCCGTTCGGCACTCATCACTCCAAGATGCTTATTCTCTTTCGTCACGACGACACTGCCCAGGTCATTATCCACACGGCAAACATGATTCCTCGCGATTGGACCAACATGACACAAGCAGTCTGGGTGTCACCGCTGCTTCCACTGTTGCCTCAAACATCAAGTCAGTCAGATTCTACTACAGTACATCCAATCGGAAGTGGTGAGCGGTTCAAAGTCGATCTTCAGCGGTACCTACGGGCCTACGGAAAGCGACTGGAGAGTTTGACTACACAGCTCAAGGACTACGACTTTTCAAGCATTAGGGCAGCATTCATTGGAAGCACACCGTCAAGACAGAAGCCCACGGCCGTCGACTCTTCATCTACTGCATTCGGCTGGCTAGGCCTAGGCCAGATCCTATCCAGCATCCCAGTCTCGAAACCAGACGTCGACTCTTGTCCTCACATTGTCACGCAAGTCTCATCTGTAGCAACCTTGGGCGCAGCACCAACATGGCTTTCTCACTTTCAATCCATTCTCTCCCGCTGCTCATCCACCAACGCACCACCAGAAGCACCGCCAGCACCACCAAAATTCAGCCTAGTATTTCCCACCCCAGCCGAAATCCGCACGTCTCTCGACGGCTACGCCGCAGGCGCCTCAATCCACTGGAAATGGCAATCGGCACAGCAGCAGAAACAGCTCGAATACATGCATCCCCTGCTGTGCCACTGGAATCATGCATCTACCCACCAGCATCACCACAAATCTCAACAAGACGCACACCGCGCCACAGCCGCACCCCACATAAAAACATACATTCGCTTCCGCAACAAAAATGACTACACAGCCATCGACTGGGCCCTGCTCACGAGCGCAAACCTCAGCAAGCAGGCATGGGGCGACGTGGTAAATAAGAAGCAGGAAATCTGGATCCAGTCGTGGGAAACAGGTGTAGTCATATGGCCCGCTTTGTTTGCAGAGCCAGGACAAGCGCTGCAGCGCCTTGTCATGGTTCCCGCGTTTGGTTCGGATACTCCGGATGTGTCTCGTCTGAGCGAGGGGGTGGTAGGGCAGGACAATGGGCAGCAGGCTACGCTTGTTGGGTTCCGCATGCCGTATAATGTTCCGCTTGTGCCCTATGCAGAGGGTGAGAAGCCCTGGTGTGCAGCGCTTGCTCATGACGAGCCGGATCGCCATGGACGTGTCTGGGCTGGTTATGGGCGTTGACGTGGGACATGTGCTTGCTTCACTTCATGTAAATCTTACCCTCCTGCTTTTTTTACTCCAGCCATATACTTATATGCATGGTCAGAGAGCTAAATGTAATAAGAGTATTTCAAACATTCACCATAATTGCATGTGTCTTGACTAAGCTTTACATTGCATATCTAGTATTCAAACCTATTCAACTCAGCTTACGTATACCAACCACATGACTATCCCGTATCCCACAGTTCCCAGCTTCACATCCGTCTCTCGAGCGGCGAGCCGAGCAATCAGCGGATAAAAAAAGGGGAGGGGGGATAACGCTTAGTTGTCGTGCTTGGCCAGGATCTGCTCGCCGACCTCAATGTACTTCTCCTCAGCCTGCTGCTGCGTGGTGCCCGCATCCACAACCTCCTTCCACTTGTTGTACTTGGCCTTGCCCTACACACACGAGCCAAGTCAGCTTTGCCTTTTTTTCAATCTGTCACATCTGGGGGTGTAATGCAATAGAACAACGTTCCATGCATCTCATATAGCTTGCCCTGTCTTCCTCGCCACATCTCAGACCAGCAGTGTATGTTTCAGAGGAACGTTATGGTGTGAGGCGCGTGGAATGTGGAAAGCGTGCGTGTATGTCGTCGAGGGGACTCGGGGAAAGAAAGCAAGGGTGGGAGTAGGAGTAAGAGAAAAAAACCACATACAGCAAGATCAAACATGCCGGGTTTCTTTGCCTCGCCAAAGTCCTTGCCCTCTGCTACTTTGGCGTATGCGTACAGCTAGTTTATTGTTTCTTGTTAGCTGCCAATAGTTTACTCTTCAAGGAATGGCTCAAGAAGAGAGAGAGAGAGAAAGGAAAGATGAATAAACATACCTGCAGCTGCTCGTCATTGCTAGGACCCTGCTTACCAGCTGCCTTGAGCTTGTCGCCCATGGCGCTAATCTTCTTGTAGACGTCGGTGAACTTTTCAGATGGCATGTTTGCGTTCTTGTTTGCTTGGTGCGAATGTATGTGTGTGTAGGTGGGAGAGTGTTGGTGTGTTATGGAGGGGTTGGGGAAGGAGGAGAGGGGTTCGAGAACAGGTTCCGAGGGGCAACTCTCGCTCCATGGTGGGGCACATGCTATGTGTGTGTGTGCCCGCATGCATGTTTGGCCTGCCTGACCTTGGAGGGGGGGGGGGTATGACGTTACCACGCCTGTGCTCGTGAGACACATGCAACTAAGATTCCCAACATGTTTCGCTTGTGCGTGGTTGTCACTGTCGCAAGAGTCTGAATATGTACATTCTGAACATTTCTTACATCTAGGAAAAAAAATCTCATAACTACCTCTACATTCCCATGATATATGCACCCCGCAACTACATGCATAAACTGTGTCGTAATCGTTCGTCTCTCGTGTCCTGGGTATCTTCTCCCATGGTAAGAGCGTCTTACAGTGAGGGGCATATGTGAGCTACCAGGCTCCATGTCTCGACTGCAAACATGCAAGCAACGTTTCGTAGAAAGGAAAGGCAATAGAAAGCAGGGTATTCGTAGGACGCGTAAACATGAGCGCTCAGTGGTGACCATTGACACCATTGACACCATTCACACCATTCACACCGTTTGTACCATGGACACCGTTCGTGCCATTTACACCATTGACGCCGTTGACACCGTTGACACCGTTTCGGACGGGCGAAGCCTCGAGTTTTCTGCGGTAAAGCTCGCCGTCGCAAGCCCTCAGGCGCTCTGCGGCTTGCTCGGGGGTAATGTCGCGCTGAGGCTCGGCCATCATTTCATAGCCGACCTGAAACTTGCGAACCGTGGCGCTTCGTAGCAGTGGTGGGTAGAAGTGAATATGGAAGTGGCTCGACTCAATCTCGTCGGCTGTGCCTGTAAGAGGGGCCTGGTGCAATCCCATGCCTGGTTTCGTTAGTCCTCCAACTTGCTAGGCTTGACATCTTCCAACTCACTATAGGGGAATTGTGTTTCAAAGAGGTTGTCATATCGCCTCGTAATTTCAGCAATTGTCTCTGCCAACTGCGCGCGTTCGTTCTGGGTAAAGTCGACCAGCGACCGCTTGTGCTGCCTCGGGACAATCATAATCTCAAATGGCCAAACTGCCCAGTACGGAACACCGGCCCAAAAACTCTCATTCTCAAAAACTGTACGCGTCTTCTCATTGGACTCCAGGTCGGCGTAGTCTACAAGCATGTGGCTGCCACCATGATCTTTACGGTACTTGCTCAGCTGCACGAGTTCATTCGCGGGCTCCTCGGGTAATGACGTAGTTGTCCAGATTTGGCCATGGGGGTGGGGGTTCGAGCAGCCCATTGCTGTGCCTTTGTTCTCGAAGATTTGCATGTAACGGTATTGTGCGTTTGGTGGAGCGAGAGGGCCCTGTGGTAGCTGCGGGATATTCATTGCAGAAGCCAGCTTGGCCAGTGGCGACTTTGGGTCCAGGTGGGCGACGTAGATATTGGTCCACGTCTGTATTATCGGAACAATCTGCGCGGGCGACATGTCGGCCAGAGTGAGGTTGTGGGAAGGGGAGAAACAAATGACGTAGCATTTTCCGGTGACGGCTTCAGCGCGGAGTAGGCGGGAAGCGAGAGATCCGTCTTTGGAGTCTGGACGGTACTCTTGTTGCTCTTCCATGACGGCGCTGTAGTCGTTGACAAAGACAAACGTGTTTTCAAACTTGGGGTTTTGCTCGCCATTGGCTCGCGTGTTTGACGGACACAAATAGCACTGGGTGGGGTTAGCAGTGCAGTCAGGTAGGTAGATTGCGCGCGTGATAACAATACCTTTGGGTCGTACTCGGGGAGCGTCGTCTTGGATGGCGACTCTTGCATGCCTCTGCGGAGCGTCAGTCCTTGGTCTGGTGGCGACTTGTGCGGCTCTACTTACTGCCATGGTCGCTTGGTCCGGTGCGGAGAGACCAGAACCCAGCTTCCTCGCAACAGATTGAAGCGCCTGTGGGAGATGTCGTTGAGGACGGGGTCAGTCATGGCGCGCAGACTTGGTCTTGGTCGAAGGCGGAGATGCGGCGGGGAATGCGGCGGAGAATTTTGGCGGGCTCACGACGGGCGTAAATATACCAGCATATAGATGTCTGCTGCACAGCAGGGCGAGACAGCGGTAGGAGCAGAATACATGGCGGCGAGCTAAATAGTGAGAGTGACGCCAGTCATGGAGCGCAGCACGCTAACGGGTCAAGCTTTCCCTGTCGGCGGAACACTAGCCAGATGCGGTATCGCACCCTGGTGTTAGAGTTCCGGGAGCTTGCGCGTTGACATTGAGGACAGCAGAGCCTCTCCACCAACCCACGAGAGCTGCCCGATTCGAGAAGCAGCCCGCGACTTGTCCACGCAGGGCCTTGTACCGAAACATGGCGGCAATGATGCCCAGTTCTGCAACCACTGGCAACCCCTACGATGCCGATGCCGTGGAGCGTGATTTGATCGACCCAGACGATGGTGCGTCGCATGCAGCAGCAGCCTGCGCCTCCCCCCTCGACCTTCCGCATGTACATGGACGAGGTGGCCGTCGACGGCGAGCTAACCATGACCAGCTACCCTCGACGACCTGGACGACCCCCTCCAAGGCTCGTCGGACCGCGCACCGCTCACGGGCAACATGCAGCGCGACCCGGCGCAGACACAGTCGTACCTGACGTCGAGCATCCCCGGCGAGGACCGCCGCGCGCCCACCAACACGATTGACGAGACGGTGTGGGAGACGCTCTCGCGAGACATTTTCGCCATCTGGGAGAAGATGAAGCAGGTGCTGTACCCCAAGTACCTGCTGGGCGGCATGATGCAACGCGGCGGCGGCATTGGCGCAGCAGAGCGCGGTGAAGCAGACGGCGTCGGCGGCCGTCTCAGGAACATTGCAGGCAGATGGCCCGACGCCGATGCCATTCTCCAGGGCGGCATGAGCGAGGGACTGCGCGACTGGGACCTGTGGGGACCGCTCATCTTCTGCTTGCTGCTGAGCCTGTTCCTGTCGTGGGGGGCCAAGGGCGACCAGAGGGACCTCGTCTTTTCCGGCGTCTTCGCCATGGTGTGGATCGGCGAGGCGGTCGTGACGCTGCAGATCAAGCTGCTGGGAGGCAACATGTGCGTAGACGGGCTCGTGGCCACATGGTACCGGTGGATGCTAACCGTGGAGCAGCGCCTTCTTTCAGTCCATCTCCATCATCGGCTACACGCTGTTCCCGCTCGTCATTGCGTCGGTCCTCAGCGCCGTGGGCATACCGGTCATCGTGCGGATACCCGTGTATATCGTGCTGATTGTGTGGTCGCTGGCAGCCGGCGTCAGCATCATGGGCGGATCGGGCGTGGTGAGGAACCGGGTCGGGATTGCAGTATACCCCTTGTTTGTATTCTACGTTGCGCTAGGCTGTCTTTGCTTCATCAGCTAGTGTGGAGCCTGCGGAGGACTGCATGTAGTGGTAGTGTAAAAAGCCGTGTGCGGCGAGGCAGGGCATGCTTGCTCGCCGTGCCCCCAGGCGTTCAGGAGCGGCCAGGCCAGGCCAGGGCGGCGTTGCAAATGAAATGTACTTACTGTACCACTACCTCCCTCGATGCCTGCCTACATCCAGCGTGCCGTGCGCGAACGCGTTGGACGTGCCGTCTTCACCGATGCTACGCGCCTGATGTGCGTCTACCCAAAACAGCAAAAGGCACGCAAGGAGCTGCCACGCGAGCCCATGTTGAGCCAGTCCGTCTTCCCCACTTCGTCATTGGGTCTTTGCAGCGACAACGCACTCGACCACGACCGACCACAGGCGCCAACCCTCTGCACCCGGCCAACCGCTCGAACCCCCCCAAGGCGCGCCTCTGCTGCTCGCCCCCCCGACCCCCTCGCTACAGACGCGTGCTGGAGCCGACCGGGCAATTAAACATTGTCGCATCGGCGCATTGCCTGTGGAAATTTGGTACGCAGCGCTTTGACCGACTCCGCTAGACGACCCGATCGACGACCAACTCCCTTTGGCTGCACGACGCACGCCGTGGCCAGCGTTCACAAAGCTTTTCAGACGCTGCGTTTGTTGACGGAGCCGACCACGGCCTGTCGCGTTCCATTGCCTGGCCGTCAGCTCGCCACCAGCTGTGCCCACGCATCGCCTCTGCGACCGTCGACGCCCGGCCACCGCAACTTGGCCTCCGCCCTGGCCTGTGGTTGCTACTGTGCCTATTTGCGGCTTTCAGGGCGGCAATCCAGGTGCCAGAGTCCATATCCAGCCCTTTGCCTCCATCCCGACAACCCTCTTCGCCCGCGAAACAGCCTCTCCCGAGCCCCGACCGAGCTGTACTCGTTCCGCGGCGCACACGACAACCCTCGCAAAGCCCCCCATAGTAGTTGTACCGCACCATGACCGACGTATCTGAGAAGCAGCAGCCGCCTGTCGCTGCCCCTGCCGCTGACGATGCCGCCGCTGCTGTCACTCCTGCTTCCGAAAACACGGATGCCGCGCCCGCAGCGCCCGCCTCCCCTGCACGGAGCGACAAGAGCAGCGATAGCGAAGGCAAGAACGTACGGGAGAAATTAAAGGACACTCAGATTGATGCGCAGGCCCCATCATACCCCGCGTCCGGCTCCGACCAAGCTCTGAACAACGCACCCAACGGCAGCGCCAAACCAGGAGATCATCAGAGCGTTTCAGGCTCGGACAGCGAGCGCGGACGGTTACGGCGAAAGCGCAGCCGCGAGGACTTTGAAGACGACGCCGAAGCGGACAAGCAGCCGGAGAAGAAGATCGAGCGACACACGCGCAAGCGGTCGAGAGACATGACAAAGGACGTAGACGCCGACATGTCTGCCAAGCCTTCTGGTAACCCTATTACGAGTATCAAGGAGAGCGATGCAGACGAGCACATGGCATCGCCCAGCAAGACCCCGACGACTACAACTGACAAGGCGTCTGGCTCCGGCACTAGCCCCAAGCACAAGCGCACGCGCGACGAAGCCGAGAAGGATGCAGAGGATACGGCTGATGGGGCTGAGGCTGCAACTGCAAATGGCCAGCCGGATACCAAGCGATTACGAGATCAGGATGGATCCAAGCCTAGTTCGGACACAGTCGAGTCAAAGGCAAAGGTAAAAGAAATTACACGCTTTCCATTACGGCAAGATTAACTTTGATACTAGATACCACGCGGAAGTGGATTCGCAAACACCTCTGCCGCATCACCTTTTACGGCCATGGCAGCCAAGTCCCAGGGACCAAAGAGTTCTGATAAACCCGAGTCTTTACCGCAGACATCAGACGACAAGTTCAAGGCTTCTGGTTTCGGTGGCTTCGCAGCTTCATCTACGTCTCCATTCGGGTTTGCCAGTTCCGGCTCTAGTTCACCCTTTGGCGGGGCAAGTGGAGGTAAATTGACGTCTTTCGCTGGAAAAACGGCTGCTCCAACGTTGGGTGGCAGTGGTGGCGGATTTGGCGCGCTTGCAGGCTCTGGTACCTCTGGTTTTGGTGGAAGCTCCTTTGGTGGCGGATTTGGAGGATTGGGTACTACAAAAACACTAGGATCCTTTGCAGCGCCCGGCGGCAACTTGGAAATCAAGGGTCTCAAGGAAAAGGAAAAGCCTTTTGGGGCTGCCGCAGATGGCAACTCTTCCGACGAAGAGGACGATGACGATGAGGACCCAGAGAAGGCCACAGAGAAAGAGGAGCGACAGTCCAGCCAGCCTCTTCTCTCGCAGCAGCGTAAGTGTTATGTGCACATTGACGACTATCAAGCTAACTTTTTGGAAAGCACCCGAGACTGGTGAAGAGGGCGAGCAAACCCTCTGGACAGGCCGCGCAAAGCTCTACAACATGGCCGGCGAAGGCTCAAACCGAGGATGGAAGGAGCGTGGAGTCGGAACATTCAAGTTCAACATTACCGTTGACGAGCCCAAGAAAGCTCGATTCGTCCTTCGCGCAGAGGGAACCCACCGTTTACTTCTCAACGCAGCCGTCACGCGTAAGATGGTGTTTGGCGGCGATGCGCAAGGCGAGAAGCCAAAGGACGGCCGTCTGCTCTTCAACTCGCCCAATGGGGATGGCGAGCTGGAGATGCATTTACTGAGGGTAAGGGAGTCTTTTCTTCTTCTTCTTCTTTTGTTTTGCCCTGAAGTTTATTTTGTTTTTCCAATCCTCAAGATATATATACCTATATACTAACACGACGCGCGTGCAGATGAAGGCGGAAAACGCAAAACTGCTCTGGCAAGAAGTCACAAAGGTGCAAGAAGAACAGCTGTAGGAAGCATTTTCTCTTAGCCTGTGTGATTCTCCTTCTCTGGTTTCCTCTGGTGCTTCCATGCAACAAATAGACTCGGGACAAGACTAAAGAACGTGTGTTTGGGTGTAGGGGAGTTTGGATGGATTGGTTGGTCAGTCGTGTGGGCAGGCAAGCAGACAGGCAGACAGGTAGGCAAAAGGTTGGAGGGGATGGAGAGAGGAGGGGGCAATGATTGGGAAGCTCTGTGTGGTTGGAGGGAAGGAAAAAAGATGGAAAATGGAAACATGGCTGGTCCCTGCCTTTGATACCAAACACTCATATATATCCCTTCTTCTTTTTATTTTTCCCTTTGTTTGTTTTCTTCATCATCCTCATCCTCATCTTCTTCTTCTTCTTCTTCTTCTTCTTTTCATTTGTTCACCAAACGAGAAAGGGCGATATATCCAAGTGATCTTCTTCTTCTTCTTCTCCTTCTTTTTTTGATATATTGTTCGTTTTAATCATGGTACTTTTTCTTTTTTTTTCTCCTCTTGTTCACTCGCTCTGTGATTAATTTGGATTTGAGTAACTAAAGAAGTGGGTGTGGAAGGCATATATATATATATATATATATATATATATATATATAGGGTGGTAATGGAGCTGTTAGGTTTAGACGAAGAATATAGGATGGTTAGAGAGAGAATATATGTGTGAGAAAGAGAGTGAGAGAGTGAGAGAGGGAGTGAGAGACAGAGGGAGATAATTAGATGTAGGTGTATGAATGTGTAAGGGGCTCGACCCCGGAGGGTAGTCTTAAGCTCGGGAGCACGATCGGACAGGCCAAGGTAACAAGATTGTATTCGATAGAGAGCTAAGCTCTCGGCTACGTAGCTATCTATATACAATGCTGGTTGCTAGGGTAACAATCGGGCCGGGCAGGTGGAGTAAACGAGGTCGTAGACGAGTATGGGAGGCGAAGGGCGTTCAGCCCGTTACAGAATGATAGACATGTTGTTTTTGTATATATGCATGTATGTATATGTGTGTGAATACCATCTACCTTGCTATCCCCCAAAACACTCTTCTAGCAATTAGCTCGAAGCAAAAAAAAAAAAAAAAACTCTAGCACTAGAGTCAAGAACTTGCCACGTGCTACGCGTACATCTAGCGTGACAGCTGGGGGGAAAAAAAAAGGGCGTTTGATCGCCTTGTTTGTTGCTTCGCTGGAATATTAAAGAGAGAAAAAGAAAAGGAAATATGGATGCGTTGAAGGTCTTCTTCTTCTTCTTCTTCTTCTTCTTCTTCTTCTTATCTAGTGTATAGTACAAACTTAGACCTTACCTTGATCAAGATTCCCCTCCAACCTTGTTCTTCTCACTTTTTTTTTAATTCTCGGAAAGAAACTTTATTACACCCATATGACAAGCTAGCCCCATGTCAATTTCTTTCCTTCGACACACACACATGCCCTTTCCCCCATAGCACAGTACACGGTAGGGTATACCCTGCCTTACAAGGGAAGAGGAAGAAAAAAACGAGGCATGAGATCAACATGGGGGTCCCTCAATCTATGGACCCCTGAACCGCTCACGCACCTCCCAATCGCCCCCTCCCCCCCTTTTTGCTTGTTTGTAGTCTAGTACGTTCTTTTTCTCTCTTGTTTTCCGTTTGTTTGCTGGCTTAGTGTGTAGCTAGACCCTGCGTTGAGATGGCTTCTCGCGTGGGTGTGCGTGTGGGTGTGCGTGTAGGTGCATGCGGTACCATGGTAATCTGCACATGATCATGGGTGAACTGTGGTTGAGAGATTAGTGGGCATGCAATCTGCAACGGAAATGTTGCTGTGTGATGAGTGACTGACTGGGTTCCTTTCTTTTTTTTTCTCTTCCCTGTAGAGGACACGTGGGTGGTGTTTAGGTACATGGGCAGGGTCATCTGCTGTAGGATAACCAAGGTAGAATAACCAAGTGATTGTTTTTTCTTTTTCTCCATATGCATCCCATACGCTCTCATGTAGGAGTACCATTGTATGCCATGTCAAGCTGCGGGTCTGGACGCGTATGCGGGTTCTCGAAAACAGGTTGCGCTACGGGAGTTGTACCTGGGATGGTTAGGGTCCTGGCTTATAACAGAATCGTGTCGAGGTTCGTGTTCCTGACACGTGCAAATGCTGGCTAGCAGTCGAGAATAGATGCCGGGTGGGCTGCAATGATCAGTCTTTGGAAACACGTGTGGTGTGCCGAAAATATATGTAAGATGGAGTCATGCGAGGGGTATTTTTAACCCATGCCGAAGCTTGCTTGATCTGGATGCCGATTGAACCGGAAAGTTTTCGGGGCCATGATGCTTATTGCTTTTGGTAGGTTTAGTCTGAGCCAGAAGGACCGAGGAGAAGAGCTTGCCAAGGTGTCACCGTAGGGCGCCCGGCGAGTGTCAGCTTGATCTCGGGCTTCAATCGCCCCCGAGTTCTGCATCAAAGTTGCTTTATGTAGAGAACTGATGGCACTGCGTTGTGCTCATGGCCCATGTGCACTTGCCATATCTGTGGTCACGCGGGACAGCGCTCCTACCCGTCCAGCTCCCGTGTCGCTCGCTGTTCTACTTGTGAAAGCGTCTGTATCGCGTCAAGATGCGCTGTCTGTGTTGGGTGTGAGATGGTCCCAGGTCTCTTTTTCTGCTGACTGCATAGGGGGGACGAGAGTCGCGTGGAATGCGCCGTATTTTGATCTGGAGAGGATCAGGGAACGGGGAGATTTGTGCGGCCCTTTTATCGCAGCGACGTCGGTCACCTGTGGCAGACTGGAGTCGCAGCGGTGTTGAGTGCTAAAACAGGCCATTGCCTCGATTCGTCATGCGTCTAGTGGCGATATTGCCAGGGAGGGAGGGACCAGACTGCCACGTACCCTGGCGCGTGGCCCTTGTGGGCAGTGTGTTATTGGGGTGGGGGAGGGAATGTTGAGACGGGAAAGAGGTGTCGTGGGCGAAGGGAAGGAGCGAGGCTCGCGGGAGTCAGGGTCGGGCAGGCGCGAGTCGTTGCTGGGAGGAGCGAGGTGGGAGGACGGAAGGCGCGACGGGACGGGCGGGGGGCTGTAGGGTCAGGGTCATTGTGCAAGTACTACACTAGGAGTAAGAAGCGGTGCAGCGCAGTGCAGAGCGAGCGGAGCCGGCGGGCGTGCACAGCGCTGGGGGGGGGGTGCGTGGTGCTGGGTGCTGGCTGGGTGCTTGCGGAGGGGGGGCGGCACAGAGGCCCGTGGGCTCAAAACAAAACACGGCTGGGTGGGTGGCCGGGTGTTGGCAGGCTGGCGCGTAGGTGTAGTGCTGTATATACCTGCACATGGCGGCTGCATGGCGGCGAGGCAGGCCAGGCCAGGCCCCCAGCTGCACGCCGTTTTGGTGATGACGTTTACGGGTGGCGAAGCCGTGTTTCAGCTGCAGCAGCGACGGCCATGGCGTTGTTTATTCGTCGCCGCGCCTGCCTCGCCGCCCTGCCCGCCACGCCGCCGGCCCCCGCATCGCCCGGCCCCCAGTCGGACGCGGCGACTGCCCATGGCCAAGCCAGGCAACGCTCCACCCGCCTGCCCACGGCCGCGTGCAGGCTCGCCGCGCAGCCTTGCAACCACAACGGGCGCTGCAACACGACGCCGCCGCCGCTGCCAGTGCCAGTGCCAGTGCCAGTGCCTGCGCCCGCCCGCCGCCGCCGCTCGTCGTCGCCGTCGCCGTCGCCACGCTCGCCCTCGCCCTTGCCATGGCAGACAGCGCTTGGACCGCGGGCGAACTTGATCTGCGCGCGCCTGCAATCTGGCCGGCACCAGGCCCCGCTGGGCTAGCGCCGCTGCAAGGCGTGGGTCGCGCGACCGCTGATTCGCCGGCACCCCCCTCGCTGCCTGCCTCGAGCAATCCGCTGCTGCCGTTTCTCCTCGTCACATCTACGCCCAAACCCCCTCAGGGCGTCGCATTCCTGCTGCTCCTCCATTGTCGTCCTGGTCCTCTTGATGCCCGGCGCCCATGGCCTCCGCTGCGTCCACCCCCCCCAGCCGTCTCGTCCCCCTCTCCCCCCCGCGCACCATCAGATGGCCCCGGGGGAGCGGCGGCCGCCACGGCGACGCCAGCCACATGCTGATTCTTGACGCCGCGCTTCTTGTAACCCCTCGGTGACTAATGTCTTCTAGCCTTCACTCCTGGCCATGGCCTTGGGTGGTGCACAGACCACGCGCCCTAAGCCGTTCTCGCTCACCAGCGTCGGGGCCATTCATTCTCAGGACATTCGCACGCTCGATTCTCCACTGCCATTCTGACTCCCATACCGCACCACGCCCTCGTTGCACTGCGACTCTCTCGCTGGACTACTAACGTCGCAGCTGCTCCCGCCCCCGCCCTCGCCCTCGTCGCCCTCGCCACTGTGCGCGCGCCGCCTTCTTTGTGGCCGCTGCCCCCCTCCCAGCCGACTGCTCCCTCCGAAGCCGCCTCTCGCCAACCCGCCCCCTCGACACCCTGCCTGGCTGCTGGCGCACTGCATCCCGCCCAGCACACCGTCTCAATAGCCTCGATTCATGATAGCCTCTCGACAGAGCCCCCTCAGTGACGTCTCAGAGCCCGTGTTGCCGTCCTTTGCCATCGTTGCCCGCGCTGCAACCTGACACGCAGCCCTCTTGTTGCCAGCCGCGACCGCTCTCCCAGCGCTCACCCGCCTCCTCACTCGAGCTCTCTCGTTGGCGCTGTTCACCACGTCCGTCTCGAGTCGCTGCTGGTAGCCCTGCTCTCTCGACACGCGTCTTGGGCGTCATGCGATCCCAACAACACGCATCTTGAGCACCACAAAACACACACACCACACAGTACAGAGCCTGCTTGCCAGAGTATGACAGACGTCTCGGCGGTCCAGGCGTATGCTGATGCTCAGCCGACTCCCCTCGCCCTCTACGGCGGCCCTCCGCCGCCCACCTTCGCCCATGCCTCGCCGCCCCTAGACGGCGTCATCGAGGAGGAAGAGTCATCCACAATCAAGTGCATCTGCGGCTATGCTGACGACGACGGCAACACAGTGCTGTGCGAGAAGTGCGACACGTGGCAGCACATTGTGTGCTACTACGAGTCTGCTCAGCATGTCCCCGACGTGCACGAATGCGCCGACTGCCTGCCGCGTCTCGTCGACGCAAAGAGCGCCTCTGAGAAGCAACGCATCCGGCGAGAGATGCACAACATCGGTGAGCGCAAGGGCAGGCCAAAGGCATCTGCCAAGAACCCCAAGAAGCGACCCAAAGACTCGTTAGCTCCGGTGCAACCCAACGCATGGCCGACGCAAACCAACGGCGATCTCCACTATACCCCTGACCGCAAGAGCGGAAGCCCACGAGACCAGCCGCCTCCAAGCAAACGGCCCAAGACGAACCATCGCGCCTCTGGATCCATGAGTCTCGTTAGCCAGGCCCCGGCCCTTGCACCCACATCGCGGAAACGCGGCGCATCCATCGTGCTCAACGGCCACAGCCCCGTCAAGTCCCCCTCGAATCCCGAAGCTCCCGTCGAGGACTACTCGTACGAGTTTATGCATCTCTACCGGCAGCCTGAGCCGCCCTCTGCCGAGTCCAACTCGTACACGCGCATCGATGTAGCTAACGACATTGCCATGTGGCTCCAGGACCCAGAAGCCCTGGCCGAAGCAAGCGGAGGCAAGAAGCCACAGGACATTTTTTCACGCATTGATAGCACCATACAGGATCTCGAAACCAAAACTGCGCCAGAAATCGTGAAACAGACAGATGTCGACTCGGCTATACTAGCGCATGGCCTGCATCCCCAGTGGCATTTCATCACCGCAGAGACGCCAGTGCCGGAAGGCGGCTATGTGGGCGAGCTCAAGGGTCTCATCGGTCGCAAAACCGACTACTATGCGGACCCGTCAAATAGGTGGGATTTGCTGCGTCATCCCGAGCCTTTTGTCTTTTTCCCTCCCCACCTGCCCATCTACATTGACACGCGGCGCGAAGGCAACCTGCTACGATATGCTAGGAGGAGCTGCAACCCCAACATGTCCATGAAGATCCTCATTGACTCGAGCAACGACTACCACTTCAGCTTTCTAGCCACACGCGAAATTAGCCCCGGAGAAGAGCTGACGGTTGGCTGGGACATTGACTCGGAGGTGCAAAAGCAACTGGCCAAGGTGGTTACCAACGGTGCCAAAGAAGGCTTCAGGAGAATCCAGCCCTGGGTCTCGTGTGTCCTCGCAAACTTTGGCGGCTGTGCTTGCGACATTTCCAACGGCAACGAGTGCCTCTTGGAGCGTGCCCGTCGCAACACCATTACAGAGCCAGCCGCCCTCAAGACCAAGAGCAAGAAGATGAAGAAATCACAAATATCTCCCACCAGCACCGGCCATGCGACCAACAGCCGCGCAGGCAGCGAATCGGCCAACCGCGACGCCGTCGACGATGACCAACTAGATGCCCATTCTACGTCTGGTTCACACAAATCAAGCAGTCGCGACATTACGCCCGCAACCCACGTTTCCTTGGACGGCGACCTCAAACTATCGGAGCGTGAGAAGAGGAAGATCCAGCACCAAGAGCTTCTATTCCAGAAGCTCGATCACGACGAGCACAAGGGCAAGAGGAAGCGTACGAGCGCTGGATCTAACCTCAATACTCCAAGCGCCCCATCCTCGGTAAGACTCGCTACACTTTTTCCGACTGATGTTTCTAATTCAAAGTCACAGAGACGTTCTGGACACCCCGAGCCTTCGCCGTCAGCTCGTCATCGGGAACACAGCCACGGTGTCGCTCGCAAAACCTCTGGCAGCTCCACAAAGACCAATGGACGCACGCCATCAAGACCAAAGCCCGTTTATGTAGACGCATCGACACAGACGGCCGATGACGAGAACGTGAAGCCTCAAACTTGCGTTAAGCCACGCCAGTTGAAACCTCCCATGTCGTTCAAGCGCAAACTTTTGCAGCAGGCCCAAGAGGATAAGCTGCAGCGCGAGCGAGTCCGGTCCACGTCGGTAAAGAGGGAGGCCAGATCGCCAGCCTTGAAGGACGTGTCTTCGAACAAACCTTCTCCACTTCCGCCGTCACCGCCACTCGAAGAGCCTTTGGCCATGGATACGTCGACAGAACCTCTACCCGACACGGCACACAAAGAGCTCACACCTGCAAAGGAACCCACGCCTGAACCTTCAGTAGACATTGAGATGACGGATGCTGAAGTCTCTGCCCCCATGCGCCCAGAACCAAAGACGGAAGAGCTACCCGATGCGCCCAGACCAGAGACTCCACGGGAAGCTTCGTGTCCGCCCACCCAACCACACGCTCCACCGTGGTCGGCCTCGACGCCAGCCGAGCCGTCGCCAAAGTCCGTCTCAGCCCCCGCACCACCGTGTGCTGATGTGGAAGTGGAAACTCCGGCAAAGCCGGATCCCGTCAGCACGGCCAGCAACCCTGTTGTTGCTCCGGCATCGACACCCGCACCTTTGACTGAAAATAACGTTGCGCCGTCGCCGGGTGCATCGACAATCGCGTCTCCCTTCTCCCCTGCTGTCAACAATGCTGTCAAGCCGACGCCGGCTCGCAAGAAGCTCAGCTTAAGTGACTACACTAACCGCAATCGCAAGACCAAGTTGGCGCAGACACAGTCGACTGGTACAAACGCCACGCCACCACTGGCTCCATCGCAATCCACAAGCTCGCCAACCCTATCTACGGCCAGCCTTCCCAATACCAACTCTCCACCGCCCAAGGCCGTGGAACCTGTCCTAGCACCCGTAGCAGAGGAGACGAAGCCTGCCGAGGTATCTGTTGCACCTACCATAACGGCTACTTCTACTTCGACATGAGCGACATGATTCACGATACCCCTGCTCTTATTTTGCCACCAGTTTCACGGGCCGCCGGGCGACTCGCATGGTCCTCATCTCCCTTTTTTGGAGTGTAACAATATGTAATGATTACAAGTCAAACGATTTTTTCATTTCTCCATCAGTTCTTTTAACAATTTTTTCTTTCATATCCAAACGACTTGAAGTGTTCGGTCGAACGGGTGTTCTTTTCTTTTCTTTTTTTTAAACATTATGTGACGGGAGGGCGCGAGAAGAAAGAACCAAAGAGAGTGAGAGAAAAAAAACCAGGATAAACACTCAGGTGCCATGAGAGTCTTGGCTTAGGGCGTCGTCGGCTGTTTTGCAATTGGCAATGTCAAATGAGGGAGGGAGGGAGCGAGGCGGCGGATGTGTTGGGCTATAAGCGGAAAAGAAAAAGTTGGGAGGGATGGGCAGCCCCGTCCTTTTTCTCCGTTTTTTTTTTGTTTTTTTTGTCGCCCAGAGCAGTCTTGGGAGAGTTGTTATAGGGTTCTAGGGCTGTGTGGTGGTTGGAGGGGGGTGAAGACATATTGATATGCCATTCTCTGTCTCTCTCTCTCTCTCTCTCTCTCTCTCTCTCTTTACCCCCCCACACACATACTCAAAGTAGGCCGAGAGGCATGGCCAAAGAAGAAAGAAAAAAAATCTAAAGAAATCAATTACCCCCTTCTTCACACTATTTATTGGGCTTGATGAATCTTTTTCATGTTGGTGTTTTTTTTTGTCTGAGCCAGTACTGTACTGTACTGTACTGTACTGTACTGTACTCGTTCTCGATATCAACAAGTAGAGAGAGAGAGAGAGAGGTACAAGAGGATAATACATACTGTACCACAACCAAGACTCACATGGACACCAACCTAACAACAAACATCATGGTTATTTATTACCGCTACCTCTTCCTCCTACTTTATCCATTCATTGTAATTAACCCCTTCTCCTTCTCCTTCTCCTTCTCCTTCTCTTCCTCAATCTCCTCCTTCTCTTCCTACACAAGCCACACACACACACGTCCCATGCCCATCTCCCTCTCCATCCCCCAACCACAGCCATCTTCACCATCATCATCATGACGCGCGCCCGCGCCCTTGATACACCGAATCAAAATAACTCGGCACGAGTTCCGAAGTATCTGGCTCGTCAACACTGGCAGCTACGATACTTGTCGTTTTCGCATTCGTAGTCGACGCCGTATTCGTGGTTGGTATTGCTGTTGTAGTTGTATTTGTTTTTGCAGTAGTAGTGTTGTTGTTGTGTTGAGGAGGAGTGGTTTTGTGGTTTTCGGGTTTGGCTTGTTCGCTGGTGGTGGTGGTGGTGGTGGTGGTGGTTGTCATGTCTTGGGTGTTGTGCGGTGTGGGTGGAGCTGGAGGTAGAGCTGTAGCGGTATTGGTGTTGGGAGCGGCAGCAGTGTTCGCAGTAGCATTGGTATTGGTAGCCGGTATAGCCATGGTGGTGCTAGCAAGACCAGATGCAGATGCAGCGTCTAAACCACCGCTACTAGACTCCGCAAATCCCTTATGTGTAGGCGAGTCGCCCGTTGGACTGAGTTCATGCGGCGACGACGACGACGGGAGCTGCTGGTGGTGCTGGAAGAAAGCTTGGTGTGGGATTGTTGTATGTTTTGGCGTTGTTGCTGTTGTGGAAAGAGGAGGAGGTGGATATGGGGCTGCGAGGTACAATGGTCTTGTTACTGGTGACGAGGTGTGGTTGTATCCTAGGACGGAAGAGTACGTTGCGTGATGAGGAGCTGGAGGGTAGTGTTGATGATAGCTACCGTTTCTGGTGTCTGTCGCGTGTGTGCCCGCTGGCGGTGCTTCATGCGGAGAATGATGATTATGATGAGGATGATGGTGGTGGTGGGGATTATGGTAATAGTACTGTTGATGAAGTGGGTTCTCAGTCGCCGTCATGTTCGCCCTGTGACTTTGCTCCAGCATTGCCGCGCTGCTTTTCCCACTGCCGTGGATTCCCCAACGCCGGCTACCGGGTTTCCGGCTTACTTCGTTGGCGAGGCTGGTGGTGCGGCCCCAGAAGAAGAAGAAGAGTGCAGCGACGAAGATGATGGACGATCCGCCGACGACGATGCCGACAATGGCGCCTGTGGAAAGCCCCTTTTCGTCAGCTGGTTTCCCAGTGTCAGTGTTTGCCGTGGCGGAACTGGTAGCTGGGTTACTTGCTGAGGGGCTTTCGTCGGGAAAGGGTTCGCCTGGGTTAAGCATATATGTGCTGCTTAACGCTAGCTGCTGCTGCTTTTGCACACTCATCGACGCATTGGGGTTAATGGCGCCTACCATGCCGTATGTCAGACAGCTACCGGGGGCAGAGCAGTAGAAGAATATGGGGTCGGTGTCGTTGATAAGGATGCGGTAGGTAGGCGGCGAGGAGAGCACCGTGTCGACGGTGTGGAAGCCAGCGAAGAAGCCAGTTTTCGAAGCCCCGGTCATCTCGTAGGGTATGCATGGGAAACCGTATTCTGCGCGGACGACACTGTGATTACGCGGGTAGAAGGCGAATTCAATTGTCTGTTCGCGGGTTAGCACCGTGCTTTACATGTCAAAGAAGGGATCGGGAAGGACTAGGGGATGAGGTAGCAGACCAACTTACATCACCGATATTGGCCGTCGTCACCTCAGGCTTGAATTTATGGTCTGCCAGGCCGACTTGGATGGTGTATGTTTGTGCAGGCGCTGAGTTTGTCGGGCTTGGCTGATCGGGTGCTATCGACGATGTTGTAGGACTTTCAGTGCTGGATGCAGGGTCGTCTTGTGCCAGACCTGTCGGAAGATGGATGACCACAACAAGAGACAGAAAGACTGTATGCAACCAAGACTGGGACCTCGGCATTTTGAAAACCTTATCCGCGATTGCAAAGTTCTCGAGGCGGATTCTCCAGCCGTTCTTCCACAATACAAGACAGTGTGAGATCAAAGAGAAGAGCGACTCCAGCCCCAAGAAAAACACGATATTGAAGGAACATAGTCGCTGCTCACATCCCTCGTACACCACGGCAGTGGCAGCATAAGCAAGGACTCACAAGCGAAGTAGGCAGCCAACAATGTCAAAGAATATCCAGGATGGAACAGGTACCTGAGAGGTCTGGTCGTGCGTAGGCGCGGTTATGGCGCAGGAAATGAGTCTCCATTTGCTAGCGATCAACGCTATTCAACTTTCGGCGCAGCTGTAACAAAGAGAATGCCTCAACGGGAAAGGGCTCGGTGATCTCATGCGGGCGCCGCACACCAACAAAGACAATAATACAAAGCGTCCCGTCATTGCGCGTGAGCTAGCGTTGAATCCAGAATGGTGACCGGCTTTTATCGATATTCAAAAGTCGATTGAGGTATTCTGTGCCGCCAGCGCCGTTGGCCATGCTTATAGAGATTGCCGAAGATGTTGGAGATGGACAAGGGTTTTGGACTTCGGCCTGTATTCCCCCACATGCACAACTGCAGCTGCCGCAATGCCCGAACGCGAACCGCTGGATGTGGACTCTATCTGCAAAGGTCAGACGCAACTGCAAATTCACAGCACTGTTGTCTGCAATGTTGAAGACGCGAGATGTATCGACACCAGAACACTACGTGCAGTTAAAGTATTCAATTTTTTTTTACCAATCTACTATCCACAATTGAGTAGAAAATGAGAGGAGTAGTCCAACAAAGCGTACCTTGTCGCAATAATACAGCCCCGTTTTGGCCTGGTATATTTTGTACTAGTATTCGCGTAAACTCGTAAGCTGTCCATTACACGCCAGCATATTAACCCCTGTTCACAAAGCAGCCTATTCGCGTTTTCCAGTTAGACGAGGGATTGGAGTCGGTAACGTCGACTGCATTTCAACTGCTGTTGTTGCGATAAAATGTCTCAATGAAGACCGGGATCACCAAATGGATCGTTGCTAGAGGAACTGGTAGACCCAGAAACATAGCCCGAAGGCGCGGCGGAGTGTTGTTTACCGCCTATAAAGGCTGGGTCTGGTAATGGGTTCCAGATGGGAAATCCTTCTGGAGGCTGAGACTCTCCTACTGGCTTGCCGCGAGCGTAATCGACGAGGCTGCCGTTGATACCGGTAAGTGCCCAAGCAAAGACGGCGACATCGCGAATGCTTCTCATGAAATTGTTCTGGAATTCCAGAGAAGGTGCCGCCTGTGCCATGGCCGGGTGTCGCGCGCCCAGAGGGTACTGAGGCATCTGGGGTGGCGCCGGATGGAAGACGGGTTGCGTTGCCCAGGGAGCGGCAAAGATGCCATTGTACTGCTGAGTTGGCTGAGCAGTGGGCAGGGCGCCTGGTAGCATGGGGCGTGCACGACGCAGACACACGACCAGGCCGTCCGAGGTGCAGGAAATGACGGCCTCGAGTTCAATTTGGTCGTCACGGGCTTCGGAACGCGGCGAGCTTGCAGAGGATATGGATGAGCGAGGCCCCGAACCCCCAAACATTGCCTGGTGGGTGTTGGAGCGATAGCTGGGGTGCTCTCTTGAATGGGAGCGTGAGGCCGAGGGCTCCGCACTGTGATTGGCGCTATGGTTTGGATTGGAGAGTTGTCTGGGGCTTGCACCCTCTGATGCGGGTGGGACGCCGAGGCCTACCCCACCCTCTGAGTCGTCATCCGAGCCAGTCACGTCGGTCATCACATCGTCCTCGCTCTCCGACGAGGTGGCCTCGGGTGCATCATCCTGACGTGGGTCCCGGAAGAAGAAGCGCATGTATGCAATCGAGTCGTTGCCCTTGGCCGACTCGAGACAGCGTACGGCGTCTTCAAGACAGTTTGGGGCTATGCAGTAGTAGAAACTGCGGCCCTTCATGGCCTCGCCCGAGATGCCGATGATCTGCTCTATGCCGCTGGTTGCGTACATGACAGTCAGGGTTCGAGTAAATCTATTGAGGAACAGGGCGGCCCGGGGCTCATGGGTCTGATCCTCATGGCCCAGGTCAAACTTGGTAGAGAGGTGCGACAACATGTGATAACGGGGGTCTTTTGGAGACGAGGCGAAGAGTTTCCGCACTATCGGTGCCTCGACTGCACGTTCTGATTGGGCAGAGTTAGAATTACACAAGCAAGCCAATGCAGTTAGAAGCTTACTCTGGCTCTGCATGCCCTGTCTGTAGACACTGGTGCAGCAGACGAGGACATCGTAGACAATGGAGAAGCAGCATTCACAGCCAACCCATTCTCCCTGGCGGTTTTTCAACCGACAGTAGGACAGGACGGCGGCCTTGTCGAGCCTGACGCCGCGGCTGTGCTGTGCTTTGGCGAGGGGAAGCTCGTCTGGATGGAAAAAGTGCCACACGGACCTGTTGACTACCTCGTCGGGCGTATGGCCGAGGATGTCGACAATCGAGTCTGACGAGTAGAGGATGTGGGCATCGTCGGAGAGGTCTATGGCTGCTAAGCGTTGGGCGGGTGGAGACGGGGTGGAGGAGACATACCATGGATGGTGATGAAGGTGGTATCCATTGCGGCAGGCAGGCGCAGGGAGGAGCAGAGGACTGGAGCAGTGTATGTATGTGTGTGTGTGTGTGTGCGTTGTGGACCGTCGCTCACCAGTGTCGCGCAGAGCACGTCGAATCTAATAATTCGGTCTGGGAGGGTGGTTGAGCGACTGAGGCGAGGGACGGCGGGCGGATCAAATAGGCAGGGTCCAGGTGGGACGAAAACGCGGTTGCGACAGGGCCGCGCACAGGACGAGCCGGGGTTGGGGGAACGCAGCAAAGCTGGTGCGACGGCGCGCAAAGCGAAGGCTGGGGGAGAGAGTGAATGGAAGGGGTCGACTGGCTGACGGGGGAGCGAGTCAGTTGCAATGATGTAATGCGCGATCACGACGTGCGCGCAGTGTGCCCCTCACCCGCGTTGTCGCAGAAGCGAGCAGCGTAGGCGAAAATAATTTACCAGGCGTAGGGGGGTGCGAGGAGGCCGGGAGGAGGGCGCCCGAAGCGGCTAGGCGCCAGGAGCATATGCAGCGGGCAGTTTCTGGCCGTCTTGCAGGAAGGGCTGCCCGAGGGCAGAAAGTGACGCACGCAGCCTCTGCCCCCTGCTGTTGGGTCGGGAGACGACTGCGACCGTTGGCTGTGGGTCGCAGCGGGTGCCCGGCGTGCAGGGTGGTGATGGTGGTGGTGGTGGTGGAGGTGGTGGTGGGAGCCAACGGCGGCGGGGGGGCGTCGTCAGGACAAAAGGAAGGCGTCTGGCCGTGAGTGGCAGTGGACAATGGAGGGCGGGTGGTGTGATGGAGGCGATGGTGGTGGTGGTGATGGAGGACGACGGCGATGGGTTTAAGAGTCCTGCCCAAGGCAGGCCGGTGGAAGAAGCAACGCAGGAGGGCTGACGCCGGCTCGCTGGGCGGCGGTGGCGAGGGCGAGGACAGGGCGATGCGAAACTCTTGACCTGGCCATCCACCACCATCATCACGACGGCCAGGCCAGGCCAGGCCAGGGGCAGCGGGGCGGGGCAGGCGGAAGGGGGAGCACCGGGTGTCATCTGCCAGGCCATGGGTTGCAAGCAGTGCCAGTGCCAGTGCCATGCTTGGCGGCGTGGGGTTAGCAGTGGGCGGCGGACGGCGGGGGGTGGGGAGGGTTACGCCCAGTCTCATGGTGGCCCTCAGCGAAGGCAGCTCGCAGCTGTCGTCCATCTTGGCATGCATGTGGTGGTTGTGTTTGACGGCCACGGTTGGGGGGAGGGAGTGATATGCAGGGCCGCTTGTTTGCGCGGCTACAAGCGCGGCAGCCAATCAGGGGGCGTCGGGCGAGGACGGGTGAGTCAGCAAGAGTGAAGGCGAGGGCTCCGAAGGGCGAGGGAGGGCTCGGTGCTACCCCAGCGGCGCGCACACGCACACGCACACGCACACCCAAGACCAAGACCAAGACCAAGCCAGTGCGATGCGAGTGCGATGCTGCGCGAAGCGGCAATCTCTCCGACGCCCGTTGGCAGGCGGACAGGCGACGAGCGGTGGGCGGGGCGAGGGCCGCGAGGCGTTGCGAGCGAGTCGGGAGGCGAGGGCTCAGCAGCGCAGCGCAGCGCAGTGCAGTGCAGTGCAAGTAGGGGGGGGGGGCGGGTGTAAGTATACTAGGTATTGCTATTGCTGTTGCTATAGCCATGCTGCTTAGTGTGCTCGCCGCCGCCGCCGCCGCATCATGCTCATCATCGCCTTGCCAGGGCCAGACAAAGGCGCCCCTGAGCGCCAGTCAGTTCGCATCCCACTGCCGCCACATGCACCGCTGACCGCTTTGGTGCTAGCCCAATTCTACGACGTTGACTTCTATCCCTACACCGCACCCGGCCTGGATCCTGTTTTCGCCGTCTGCGGGGGCCCCTTTGTAGGTCCCTCGTCCTCGCGCCTACTGCATCCCGCCCTGCTTATCCGCCTAGGTTGTCGTGTGCCGCTGCCTCCTCGACAAGAACAACGCCATTGAGATTCTGCAGTGGTTCGAGGACGACGAGAGCACCACCGAACATGGCTCTCCAAACGTCAAGGTTGCCCGCCCCTCCCCACTCCTGTGCCGAGCACCTGACTAAATGCACAAACCCCTTCCTCTAGCAAATGAACTACAACAGCCTGGTATGGTCCCAGGCCAAGAACGGTGACCCGCTACTGTGCGTGGCTGGCGACGCTCGTATCAAGCTGCTCAATGCGCGAACTGGTCAACTGTCGTCGGCAAGTTCCGCCCTGCGTTTCATGCCGCATCCGCTAACCCATGCATGTCACAGACGCTGATAGGCCATGGTGATGTAAGTATGCCTGCCGCAACGCCGTGTACATGTCTCACGTTGCACAGTCGGTCAACGACCTCGCCATATCCCCCGTGGATCCCACCATTCTGGCATCAGTCAGCATCGACCACAGCCTCCGCTTATGGAGTCTGGACCCAGCCCATGAAAAGCAGCCCCTCGGCGCCATTTGCTATGGACAAGGTCACAAAGACCAGGTCTTGACGCTTGTGCGTGCCTTATCAACATGACCAATCAACATGACTGACACCCGCAGTCCTATCACCCCAAGGGCCGTTACATCCTGACTGCAGGCATGGATACTAAGATCAACTTGGTACGCACTTGACGAAAAAAAAAGCGTTGAGCAGCACTTCGCTAACGGTGTCTGCAGTGGGCGGTTCCGGATGACATTAAAGCACATGCCGGTACTGACAAGCCGGCAGTGGTGCATTACCCACACTTCTCCACTACAGAGATCCATACCGACTTTATAGACTGGTGATTATCCTACCCTTGTTCCCGGTTGGCGGGCTGCAGCTACTGACGTCATCTAGCGTGCAATGGTATAATGATTTGGTCTTGAGCCATGCATGTCGCGAGGGCAAGATTGTCCTCTGGAGTATAGATCACTTTAGTTCAGACCGCGCCACTACGCCTCCCGCGCCTATACCCACATCCAGCGCAGTGGACAGTCGTACGCTTGTCACAATCCCAGTAAACTCGACGTCCAGCACACGCTCAGCCTGGGGCGGTCGTTTTCAGCGTCTTCTCCAGTTCGACTTGCCAAACACGGATCAGTTTTACATTCGCTTTTCTCTTTTTCACGAGCTTGGCCGCCATCCAATCCTAGTTGCGGGCAACGAGAAGAGCAAGACATTCTTCTGGGATCTTGAAAGACTCGAAAAGTCTGGAACGGGCGATCTTGGCATGGGAGATGATAGGACCCATGGAGGAAAAGGAGTCCCGCTCAGCCTGCCTCGACATGTCCGAGAAGACAGCGCGGGCTCTACGGGCTCTTCCGCCGTCAGTGCTGGCTCTGCTAACACCAAGACGAAGCCGAAGAAAGCAAAGGACATTGTCCGTGACTGTGGCATCTCAGACCCTTTCCGCTCCATCAAAGCCCATAAGATTATCGAGACGCCCAAGTACAAGACTTTTGCGTTCCGTCATTTTTCATGGAGCCGTGACGGCCAGTGGTGTGTTGCTGTAGGGGATTGCGGCACCATTAACGTCTTCAATCGCTGGGAGAATGGGGTACCGCCCGTGCAGCCCGACAAACCCATACCAAGCGGGTCAGAAATCAGTCTGTGAACTAGGCTCCTATAGAAATTGCTACCAAATCATGCATCGTCCGCGTGGTCAAGCCATTTCGGGTCAGGCAAATGGCGTCAGACCAGGGCGTGCTGTTTGACGAGGGCTTGCGCCTGCTTTTGCGCGAGTATGTAGATGGTCTGTCTGAGCATGAAAAAGCTCTTGTACACTCGCTTGATATCTAGTAGCTCCGTCTAGTATCCGAGTTTTATACCATTGTAGTTGAAATTGTTAGTATCAAATCTATTTATATTGGATACTTTATCTTGATAAAAGGAAATACGGTACAATCACAGCATTGTTTGATGCAAATCTATCATGGTCATGTTGATTACTTACAGAAACTATTAGAAATCCTGTGTGCTATCGGGTTCGACATTGTCCCAGCATATCACTATGACCATGGTTGAATCTTATGAATATTAATGTTTGCACATGATAAGATGGACAAATATTTCACTCATATCCCCTTTCCTAACTTGAAGAAATCACACACTTGATCATACATGTCAACATCATATGCGGAATCCTACCACCAATATAGTTGACGCATAAGGGGGATGAATAAGGGTATACACCCCATGCTCTTCACATGCATACCAAGATTTCCAAAATCCCAAATCAATAAATCCCACCCTAACTACCTGCATGCTTAACCAAGGCTCTGTATGTCTAAGCCTCAATGAATTACATTTGTATTTTTTTTCCAAGCAATCACATGATAATATTGTCATGTACGTTTATCACATAAGAACAAGCATGAAGTAGTGGTAGTGTTTCCAATACCATCTCCACTTTTTTTGTCCCGGATTCACAAAAACAAAAAAATATATACACACCTGCCGTAAAAAGAAGACGAATATCAAATCATTAGATATGGACCTATCTAAAACAGGAAATTACTTATCAAATACCCCCAAATACCCCACGTTAATCTTAAATATGCGTTTCACGTCATTATCTGTGGATATGGAGGGGTTACCCTGTACTATACCAAGGGGGGGGGTAACATAATAACACGGCTATAAGGAACAAGTGTGGGGCGGTAGGAGTGGAGAAACAAAAACGCCACAGTTTCTATAATTAAGAATACCAAGAGGTGGCGGGGGGGGGGGGAAGAAAGTGGCGCTTTTTGCATGAATCATGGGAGTGTGTGGGATTCTGGGGGTTGGTGGATTTGCGCAAACGGAAAAAACGGAACAACGGAAGACGAATATGTGGAAAAAAAAGGAGGAGGAGGAGGAGGAGGACAAGGAGGACAAGGAGGTAAGTGTAGAGGAGATGCAATGATACGCCTCACTCCGTCATAGTACATACCACATAAAGCAGTGGTAGAATCAACGAAGCACGAGATACTTGAAAAAAAAAACTGCACACAAAACAGCGAAAAGTGGAAATCTGGGACCGCGGTTGGAAGAAAAAATAACAATGTCGCAAGAGGCGAAAAGTAAATCTGCAAGCCACAGTTTTTTGTTTTTTTGTGTGTATACTCACAGCCACCGCCACAAAGCACATACTACAGTGCAGGGGTAACACCTAACTATTGGGACTGTATACCCTAGGTGTATTGCATACGCCTATACTATACTACCCACGTGCATGCATACATAGCAGGATATACCAGAACATACGTAGGTATACAGCAAGCGCAGTCAATACACAGCCTCGACAACCGAAGAAAAAAAAATCCCCCCCCCGAGAAAGATATAAAAACAAGGCGATGAAGAGAAGAAATAAAAGAAAGAGGGCTTTGCATCATTTCCGCCTCTACCTCTACTTGTGACGCTATCACGCCTCACTTTTTCTTTTCATTTTTTTTTAAATTTCTTTTTTGTTTTTCAGGCTTCGCGATGTGATTGTGCTTTTTGCGGGATACACACGTGGAGCTGCATTAGGATCTGCACTCTGGCGCCTCACTCAGGGTCTTTCTGCACCTACTTACATATTTGCTTTTTCTTTTTTTTTCTTTCTGCATCTGTCAGACTGTGAGGGGTTTCTGATCAAGGACTGTTTTTGGGTCACTGTGATAAAAG